TGTACCTCCGCTGTATCCACGTAGTCTTGAAGTGTACCCATCGCTTGACCTCTGCCTTTCGTCGGTGTTGACGGACGGCCCAGGAAGGGGAAGTCCTTGCGAGCTGGAATGCTATCTAGAGTTGACAGTGCCCTCTTCCATCCATTGAGTGCTGCTTGCTGTTGACTTAAAAGCTCATTGGCGAAGGACTGGGCCTCTTGAAATTTGTGTTCTAGAGTACCGACGTGGGTTTTGAGGTTCTCGAGCGCTACACTTGCAGCTCGGTTGATGATATCAGTGCGCTCGTTGTGTTCATGTATCTGCTTTTCCGCTGACTCGCACCGCTCTGTGAGGTTCGCTGCCCATGTCCTCCTTGCTAGATAGAGATTCCTCCATGCTTGTAGGTCGTTCTGGTTTGTGAGGGTATCGGGCGGGTTATCGACGTGCAGTGGATGTGGCGGGGGTAACTCCGAGATCTGAACGCTGTTGGGATCGCTGACGTATTTCCTGTCATAGACAAAGATTTCACTCTGTTTATTGATGGATTTAGCACAAACTTCTTGCTTGAGTGTCCGACGTGACCATACCTCCGTGGCAAGCGTCTTGACGTTTTTCCCACGAGCAGTCATTAAGATCTGCCGTTGAGGCGGGATCGAAGTCTTCGGGGCCACCCATGATCGTACTGCATCCGGACTGAGAGAAAGTCGATGATATTAGCTAGTGTCCACCGGGGGTAAGAGAGGGAGATGATAGGAACGGTCGGGCCGGGCTCAAGGGGCGGTGATGGGAAAGCAGGGCGAAGGGGGCATACGAGGCAAAGGACGCTGTATCGGTAACAAAATGCTCACCGGTGTGAGCTATGTAGATGTGCAAAGACATCCCCTCCTCACAAGACGAGCAATAAAGCTCCAAAGTTGACTGGAGAGGAATGCGGGAGGGGAGATGATAAGGTAGTCATATAGTGCAAGTAAGTAAGTAGTGAGGCTGCACAGGCATCCAGGCCCAAAGAGCTCCCCCGGTCTAGGCTGCGTTTGGTCGGTTTGGTGTCTGATATCGCGCCGGAACCGCCCACCGCATCCCGGGATCCCCACCGCCCTACCGCTAAAGGTCGGGAACCAGCAATCCATGATCCATTCATGCTGGGCTTTTCCAATCACACGATCATTTCCCCGACTTGCCACCAGGTCGCGTTCTATGACATCTGAAAAGGTCCGTCCCCTGCCTCACCTGAACCCAGGTGAGGTGTCGTTGTTGGACCTCGCGACCGACGACCCTCGCGATACCGTAACCTTGTCCGACAAAGAGGCCTTGATCCTACAGCTTTATCGGCAGATCCAGGAACAGCAATTAGAGAAAGCACTACTAGAACAAGGTCGGTGTCCATGTTGCTGGAGCAACAAATTATTATCTGTATTCGATCTAGAATTGATTCTTATGCCTGATACAGACACGAATTTGCTATCTGGAGACAATGCTGAAGAGCAACTAGCCGTCGCCGAGCGTGAGCTTCTGGAAGCTAGGGCGACTTATACAGTCAGGAGGAAAGCCGTTGGCACGGTTCTTATGACTGATCCCATCCTCAAGGCTGTTCATCTGAAAGCGTCGACGCCAGCTGAACAGTAAGTTTACTAATTGTCTTCTGCATACATTTCTCCTACTCCATTACACCTTTTGCATTTACTTGCTGCTTTTCCTATTTTTGGAGCGCTTCAATTATCTTCTCCTTACTTACCAGAAACAGGGCTCTCCTACGGCTCATTAATCGTCGTGATATGCTATCTTTAGCGCATGAAAACCTGAATACTGCACACAGTGCAACTCTTCGAAGGCTTTCCAGCCTGGAGGTGGAAAATTCACAGATCCACCGGCAAAACCAAGAGCTAGTCCGTGAGCTGTTAGCTCTTACGGAAAATGATGAATCATGGAGAGAGAATTTGGAAGACGCGGAGCTCAAGGCCCAGCTAGATCAGCTAGATGCGGATCGCAGGAAAAGCAAAGCTAAATGGGAGACTATGAAAAATATCGCAAGCGGGATGGTTGTCGGTAGTGGAGTGAACTGGGCTGAAGACGAGAGGCTCACGGCTCTGGTACTTGACGAATCTGATGATTGATGTAGTGGGTTGGTATATTGCAGTTACTTGGATGGGCGTTATGAGATATACCCTTGAATCAAATTATAGTCGATATGAAAATGTTATTCTGTCTCCCTCACTCTTTGAGGGTAAATTGAGTTTGTGATTGATCATATCCTCACCTTCCCTCAATGTCGCGGAGACATGCAGGAAAGCTTAGTAATCGGCACAACACCAGGGTAAGCTGAAAATCTGAAAATCACGACTGCAATCACTTCCTCAGCCGGGGTGTTGGAAGGATAGGTAGTGCGACCCACGTGACATCATGGCCCACCCGGGCAAAGGCAAACAGTGTTCGTCATACCGTGTCCACAGAGCTTACTGACAAAGTCTAGGATTTGGGAAACAGACGGAAAAAATCAACAAGCCAGTCCGAAATAAGCTGCAACCCTTGCAGTAGACAAAGGGGGGATGACAGCCGGAAATCAACAACGGCGCTTACGCATGTATGCCATCTGTGTTTACCCTCGAACGCCGACCAGGAAAAGAGAGTGCATGTGAGCAATGAGCGCTCCGTGAGGGGAGGGTAGCCAGACCAAAGAGGAGCCGGTGTTTCCACCGAGAACCAAATAACAGCGTCAACGACCCCCTCACCATTATTAAGAATACAGTGTAGCTTACAATACATAGAGTAATCGGCAGGTATCAGTAGAAGGATGGTTGCGTCCGATCATTACAGGATCCAGTATTTTGCCGGTAACTTTTCGCTGGTGCTCTTAGTGACGGGAATGCGGTGGCATTTACGAAGTCACATCAGCAGCACCTCCCTTTGGGCGAACAATCTATGCAGACCTTTGCAATAGATCATTACGATCGTCTATTTTAATGTCTGGGACTAGCAATAGTCAACAAGCAAACATGTCGCAACACTTTTGGTATCTTTTTTCCATCCTTCATGGTGGAAAAATTTGTCAGTGTTGAGTTACAGCCTACTTTGTACTTAATGATAACAGACACAACTTGACCTACGGCAGATACCTACGGGAGTAGGGCCCAAAATCATGGGTGATTTGAGGTCAAGGTATTCCCTGCGCAGATAGCCTGGGGCGAGCCACTGAAGAAGTCCGTGAACTCGGGAATTGGCGTACTTTCTGACCCTGGCATGAAATTAGTGGGTGATCTTGAAGCAGGTCTGCTTTGTGACTGGTACATTTGCTAGGAGCGGTAACCAAACAATTACTGCTTACTCCGAAATAATGAGAGGTAAATAGTTAGCTCCTAGCCCGCCATGCGGATAGGTAGGCTGCACATGTCCCTGGAATGACCGAACTAATGATGTTGATTAATCTATCTGGTAACACTTCTGCTCTCATCACTACATCACTCTCACGGTTCCCCGTTTTTATTGGGGGAGTGTCGATATGCTAGGAGATGAGCGTTCCTTAGTGTCACTCGGCAATGGCATGGTTAGCCTCAGCAACTCGCTCGAGCCCATCTTCGGGCCTATAAAAGTTCTATTGTGCAAGGGAAGCTGTAAGGTATCCACATCGTACCACTACTGATTATGTCTATAGGAGTGTAGTAGACACATCTCACAGTCACTGACCAGAGATGAGCCTTTCCATGTAGTGACGAGTCCTTCCCCTTTCAACACACGTAACTACACGGGAAGCGGGACCTCGGACAGGAACTGATACAGGATACTCACCTCATACGCCCTAAAGTATGTCAGAAACAATCTAACTAAAGTCTACTAGGACGCAGCACTGCCTAAGATAAACCGCCTGTATGGGAGGGCGGAGAATTCCCTGCGCGGGTTTATCTTCAAATATCGCGCAAGTACTCCGAGGTACACGGTACCTAACGCTGAGTAGTCGGCATCAAACAAAGTTAAGGTGTCCATGCAACAAAAATAACAGAACAAAATTAAAAATTAGAAATATAGATGTTTTTCATGATAGCGAAACACATAAAATAGCTCTTGTATTTCAATAGTGTCTTGCTGATATATATGGTTTTTTTGTGGTAGCAACAATTGAACCTACGAGCCACGCACGGGATTAGGTAGATTCAAGGTGCTGCACAGAAGGAAAGGTACTACCTAGTACGGAGGACTCCGTAGATACTAGCACTGCTGGTTAGACTCAGTAAAAGAGTAACAACATACGGTACGACCGGTAGTTTCCAGGTTACCAGCACCACACCCCCCTCATGATACCGCCATGTATTTTACCCAAGGCCAAATTATCCACCTAATAGTGGCGCAAAATGGGGTACTGAGGTGGTATGGTAAAATTCAGTACGGCAACTAACAGTGGACCTCCATCAGCGCAATGTTCGGTAGAGAGCTCCATCTTGTCTAACAGGCGAAGTCTGGATTACACCATTGAGTGGCATTCGACTTGCTAAGGAAAGGCTCTGCAACCTTGCAGGCCATTCAGTGACCCAGCACGACAGAGTCGTCCAGAACGCGGCCAGCGAGCGTTGCCCGGAAAGAGGCAGATGACGGTACGTGACCGGTATGATACAATACTAGCCATTCTCCAGCGGGCGGCCAGCCAGTCGCAGCCAGCAGACCTACTCGCTTTCCCTTGCTGTGCTGCCCACTTCCCCCCTTCCCAAGTGTGAGCGAGGTCAGGTAGGTAATGGCCCGCCTTCCCGTCTTCCCTCGCTCTTCTTCCTACTACTACTGCTCTCCCCCTCTCCCTCTCTCATTCACTCTCTACCTACTCTCACTACGCTTCCTCCCATACAATTCTCTCTCCCATACAAAAAGTACTGCATATACCGCACTGGTGGGTTCCCTAATAAACATTCCGCTCTTCAGCATTGTCTCTACAACACCAACGCAATTTTTTTTTCTCCTTCAACAGAGTTGTTTTCCTTTTCAGAAGCTTCTTCTGATCATCTGTTTCCCTTGATTTTCTCATCCTGTTTGCGCGACCTCGCTGTCGCGCCTCTGCTACAGCCATCATATAGTTCTAGTAGCAGTGAACTGACCTAAAGCCGTCTTATCCTCCACAGGTCAAATTTGCGACCTTCAAATCCACAACCTCCGTTTTTTTCAGACTCAATTATTGAGTAAGTTGCTCTCCTGCGCGCCTTTTCCCTGTTGGTGTCATTTGACTTGCGACCGCAATCCCTCTTGTTTGGGCGCGCGCAAACCACTGCTTATCCGCTCCACCAACCACCACTTGCACTGCGCACTCTGTCGCATCACTTCCTGTGCTCCTTAATCATCGTATTATTGTCGCTGTCCTTTTTCCTGCTGCTTTTGTTGTCGACTGGGTCACTTCCTGCTTCACTTCTGAATCATTCTGCTTGCATCACTCGAAGCCAACTTCCACGTTCTAACGATTGCATAGAGCTCAATAATCAAAATGCCCAAGGAGAAGACCACCCGCAAGACCACCAAGACCCGTGGCACTGAGCGCAGAAAGAAGGGTATGTATGCCTCCCTCTATCTCTGAAACATATGTTAATGCATGGTACAGATCCCAACGCCCCCAAGCGTGGTCTCTCTGCCTACATGTTCTTCGCCAACGACAACCGTGAGAAGGTTCGCGAGGAGAACCCCGGCATCTCTTTCGGTAAGTTCCATTCCCTGGACCTTGAATGGAAAGCTTGGTGTCTAACCTCATGCAGGCCAGGTTGGCAAGATGCTCGGAGAGCGGTGGAAGGCTCTGAGCGACACCGATCGTCGCCCCTACGAGGAGAAGGCTGCCGCTGATAAGAAGCGTTACGAAGACGAGAAGGCCAGCTACAATGTAAGTCAACACCCCTGCCTATTCTTTGTCAGCCCATGCTAATAGACTTCAAACAGGCGGCTGCTGAGGAGGACGAGGAATCATCCTAAGGGTTTCCCTCTCTTCATGGGTCTTGTGTGTCTGGCCGATTGGCGTTTTTCGTGTCGTTTATTCCGCTGATTGTCTGCCTTGTAATTGATGCTTCTTATATTTTCTCTTTATCTACTCAATGGCTTCTGGTATGGGATGATGGCGGTAACTCTTGATTTTCTGTTATGAAGGATGCTCGATGGGAAATTTTTACTGTACGGACTGGCGGCTTTGGGACGAATTTGACTTGAAGAGGTGCCCGGCGCTGAATTTCACAACGACGGGAAAACCTTGCGAGTACCTATGGTGAAATATGAATTGAAGCTGCAGAAGTGATGTTAGGCGACCAATATCTGCTGTATACTAGCCTAATCAACCACATCCTTGTCCTCGGCCTTTCGTGGGTCTTGCTTTATGCCATTCTATTTTCTAGTATGATATCATGACGAATCTATGCCCCAGTTGTACTCCGTAGTGTTCATAGCGTTGCAGGACACATTGTTTTCATCTTCTGGAGACGGCGGGAAGACTCTGTTTGCAAAAGTGGCCCAAGCTCCTGGGGTGACGCGGGGCGACAGCTTGTTTACGTGTTGGACGCGTCGGGCTTCCGATATCTCCGGTTGCAGCCTTGGTGCCTTAGGCCTCGTTAGATACCGGACCATTCACACTCTGAAGATGTGGCCACTCAGTACGAAGTAGTAGCTGGCTCATACCTGGATCAAAAAGGTAGCAGGGAAGGCCGTGCCATCCACTTGGCATCTTGAGGATGGATGGACAGAAGGGGAACCAGTGCACCTTGACATCCAAGTTTATGTATGCCTACCCAAGGCAACTATCAAACAGTTTCCGTGCATTAAAGCGTTCGTACAACTCATAGGTGGCAAAGGTACACGGTGCATGTGTTCGGATCGCATCCGGGGATGTATTGTCGCGTCTGCATCTACTGTGCAGTATCTCCCTTAAGCAAATCAGGTCCTAGTTCTAATGCTAGTATTTGGTGGTTGTTGGCCATGGCTATTGTGCGTGGTAGCAATTTCCACGAGCATATGTATATGAAGCAAGTATATTGTTCAGAATAATGACTATCAAAAGTGGGACCTTATAGAAACCAGCATCCAACATGGATAAATGCCAATAACCTGTGGGTGAGTACAGCACCGCTGGCTCCTTTGATAACTTTCCAGTGTGTATGTGTGCGCAACGACCTTAACAGCATATCTTGGCAGCATGGTTACTATTCAGTTGGGCTGCCGTGCATTCCCACGTATAGAAAGGGTATCTCCAACTGCCGAAGTACTTATATACCTTTTCCCTTGTCTCTGGTTTGAATTGAGCTAGTACTCGATCAAAGCAGCCTTGGAAAGGTCATCATTATCAGCGAGACGATTAGTGCGATAAGATAAGATAACGACGGGTTCTTGAATTGCTGAGCTCCGATATTTACCTGGTTTGGTACTACCCCTTGGTCTACGCAATTCCGAGTGGATACGGGGAAAGCTCGCGGTCACCTATAACTTGTGGTGACTATGGCTTGAGCTAAAGTACTAGCTTAGTATGTGGGGGCAGCAGCAACTCGGAAGTGAAAAGTGTTAGCAAGTTTGAATGGTCTTGGGATTTGCTGGGACTGCCCAGTCTTTAGGTGGTCTCTGAGTCTTGCCGGGCACAACGTGGCTGCACTAACTGATACTAAAGTTGAAGTTGATCGTAGACAACACACCTTGGGCTACCTTGGGTTTTATTTGGTAGTAGTTGATCATGACTTGCCCCGATACTATCTACTCGCTAGGCCTAGTCCCCTTATTGATTCAAGTTCAGATACTTCGTACCTCGTGGGGACCAGCCAGGAGGTTACTGGTAGTTTATATATATACATCGGCCATGATTTGCTCCACATAACAGAATGTGTGTTGTATGACAGCCCGACCATCAGTGATGCGCTAGAAACCAGAGAATAGCGTCGTGCTGGCCTGGCCAGAGCCCAGTTCCCTCCACCAAGCTCCCGTGAGCAGGAGTATACTCCTGTTGGGGTCAGGTTGAAGGGTGTAACGATTCACGGCTTTGAAGACTATGGTAGCACAATATGGATACCTGCAAATCGTGGAATAACGCCTTGTGTATCAAAGCCCATATTACATGAGAAAGCTTATCTGATATTAAGAGATGAGCGCCCGCTACCAAGCCCGCCAAGTTGGAGGAGATGAATAGGACCTTGTCTTATACAAGCGTTGTCGGTCTTGCTGTATAGCGAGTCTCGTGACCGAGCCAGTCTGTACTGGTCGAATAAAGTCTTGGGGAAGTTCCAGCTGAAATGCGACCCCTGCAAGTAAGCCCGGAGCCATCGGGGGGCGGACTGCCTCTCGTATGATTTACATCCAATGTGGCATTGGATATTATGCCCTCCTTTGTATGCCATAGGTGCTTTTCTCTTTCGTCTCCCCTTTCTTTTTTTCTTTTTCTATCAAAGGCTCAAGGATCTAATGACTGACTTGCTGAGAGTGTCACAGCAGTAAATCAACATGGGGACAAGCCGCGGGGTTGCACTTCATCTGCCATCCTGACCGTCCTGGCCATCACCGCTCAATCCCACCATGCATTTCCACCGCTCATTATTGGCCTCTTGCCTCCTCTGCCGCATGAACACGTCAACGGTCCCGAGGCAGTTAGACGATAGCGAGAGGCATCTCTGGCTCCATCAGAACTGTCCGGCTGTCAGAGAGCCGCATTTGCTGCTAGCCTTTGGGGCGATTGACGACGAGATCCCTGCCCCACTTGCGGAATGATTCTTGTTCTGCATCCATTCTTTTGTGCGAAGGATCTCGACCCTCTTCTCTACTTTTCTTCTCCTTGTGTGCGTTCCAAGGGTAAATGGGACCTTCTCGCCCTTTCACTCCTTAGAGCTGGACCAGTTGCAGAGTCTCCTTCGGTCTGCGTCCGTTGCCTGGTGAGACTTCAGTCTAAACATCCTCCCGAGGGCTGATCCCGCCGATAAGACGGTCCCTTCCTGACCCCATCGTTGTAGTTTACTGAGTTGTCTCTCTCCCTGCCCCTCCCCGGCTCCCGTCTGGCCCTATCCCGTGGTCTCTTGATTTTATGCATTTTTATTTTCGGTCTCCCATATAATTGAAGACCCGCCACGGCCCTCTGCGTGCTTGTCCGCGCTTGTTATTCCTCGCCGCTACCTTTCCCCATACTTCATTCACACTTACTACACAAACATTGTAACTATAACTCTCGTCACCATCCGTGGTGCTCAGGAACGGGCCTCTATCTATATATACATGGAACACCATAGGTGACCTTCACGATGTCCTTGCACGATTCTTACAAGACAGCGGAGGCTGTAGCTGAAGGATTCCGCTCTTTCAGCAACCTCCTGCCGGAGCATGACACGGAGATCACCAGCCTGGTCGTCGACCTCTTTTCGATCAGCCTCTTTCTCAAAGGCTTGGAGGGCATGGCGAGAATTCGAGCCTACCGCTACAGGCTATCCGCTATCCATCCTGATCTGGAGTTGGTCCGTGCTAGCTTGAATTACACCCTTGAGGACGTGCTGGACTTCTTTGATGATTTGGAGTCCCGGAGAGGCGACCCCGGTGAGGCATACAAGCAATTATGGTTGGAAATCTCAGCCCATTTCTTGGAGGAATCTCAGGAATCCTTGTCCACCCGGTTAGCCAAGTACAAATCGTTTCTGAGGGATTTGAGTGAGATCATGAAGGGGTGCGTGGCCCAGTCTCTCCTTCTGTTGCAACCCGGATTGGCTAACACTGAGTATAATGTAGTGAAGTAACCGATACTCGTCTGATGGCTTCGCTTCGCAGCAACCTCAAAGGTCTACTGGTCCACCAGGATAGCCGACTTGCACCGCGTTTGGGTTCTATGTCATTGAGTTCGCCTTCCTCTAGCAGCAGTAGCAGCAGCAATGGCAGCAATGCTGATCCAGGAAGTCCGGTCAATGGGCGTAGGCCTCGCGGACGCAGGTCGTACGAGCGAGCACGGCCTCCTCATTCCTCACCTCAATCGCCTATATCCACATCATCAGCCACATTCTCTGACATTCCACCCTCTGTGCCCTCAGCACCAGACTCTCCTACTACTAGCACCACTGCCACTAGTCAGTCAATAGACTCAACTCCTGTCAGTGACCACTGGGCCAGACGGGTATTCCTGGACGAGCACCCGATGACCCCAATTCCTTACGTGGGTGAAAGGTGAAATTAGCCAGTCCAAGCTGTGTCCAATATATAGCTGACAATCCCTTAGCTCCAAATGCCTCGGAGAGGTGAAGGGTAACGTGAAAGGGTGGCTTCACGAGGAGGGGTTCGAGGAGCTATTCCAACTGTGAGCTCACCCAATGCTAGACATCAAAACAAGCTGACCGTCTTTTAGTGCTTTTAGTGGTGACTCGGATCTCCGTGTTTGCTTCTATCTACGGGAAGATGACCATCGCGTACGGATTGTGTGCAAATCCCGGCGTACCTCCCGGACCAGTGATTACTCTTGCCTACCTCTGAACTTGCTAGAAATTGTTCGTATCGGTTCCTGCTTGCAGATCTGTCGACGGCGTCGCGGGGGCTCTGAACTAGTGCTGTGGGCCAATCTTAAGTTTAGCACCATCGAGCGTATGTTAGCACATCTTATCATACAGACAGCCGAAAAGCAAAAGGCTAACGTGCCGCAGAGATGGTGATTTTTTTCTGCACGTTCTTAGCGCTACGATCGCAGGACTCTGGTCGGCCTGTTGAACGCATTCGTGATTACGAACTTGACGACGAGGAAGAGCACTTCGGAGGGTAAGGGACCGTCATGACATACTGCTGATGGAGACTGACTGTTCTAGGCAAATTGTTGATGATGACTTCCTCCACGCCTTACGCGTGTACCGAGACAACGTGTCTGGAGCCGTACGTCTGCAGGCATCAGTCCACAAGGGCGAGATGAAACGGTAAGAAAGACGGCTCTCCCACGGACTACCATTACTAATTGGGCAGCTTACATAGGATGCCCGTTTGGACTGCCTTCATAACGGAACATGTCGGCTCCAGAGGCTGGATTCGCCGTGTAGACACCAAAACCATCTTATTGCGTGACCTTCGTCGAGTCATTTTCACATTTCCCAGTTATAATCCACCTCGCACACCTAAAGGAGAGCATATCTTGAAGTTCACGAATAAGTCAGGTATGGGCAGCTGCTGCGTCTTGAAGAGAGCCGTATGCTGATATTTATTAGATGCCCAAGGCTTTATGGACACAATCGCCGAACTCGCCCACTTATAACACTACGAAAACAATACCTACAATATTTAGCATGTTCTGTATCAGTTACGGCAAGAAACAGGAAACAGTCCTGGCTCGCCAGTACATATAGCAATTACGACAAATCAGTTACGATTTACGATGAAATGAGCCATACGAGACGGTTGTTATTTGATTGTTGTTTATGATCACCTTAGGTTCTCACTGCACATAAAGCTGCCTTACCAGGCATGATACCCTCCGTCCCTTAGAGGCGAGATGCATGTACCAATGATTTTGAAACCAATGAATTCATTAACATAATATATCATCAATGGGGTATCATAAGTCATAATTAAGCAGCAAAAATGCAATATAAAGTATCCCTTATCCACTGCCCCCTGCCAGTAGACCCGCGTCTCCCAAACCAGCAAGGAACATCTCCGCGCGTCGTTTAGCTCTTAATTCATCGACCTTCTTCCTTCGTTCATCCCTCAGCCGCTCACGCTCCGCGCGTCTCTCCCGCTTGGCGTCTCGCTCCCGCTGCGTTTCCTCCCGCGCATTCAGCAACTCCTCCATCTGCTGTCTCCGCACATTCTCATCCTTCGAGAAAGCATAGAATCCCGTACCCCGATTCCGCACCTCCGCCTCAGCATCATAATGCATCTCCTCCGGCGGCGTAGCCGACCGATCCCTTCGCGCAGCCAGATCCGACATGCGCGAAGCAACCACCGCATCTGGATTAAACGCCTCCGCCTGCACCGTCGCCCCATAGATCAGATTATCCGGACGCGCGGGACGCCACCGCTCTGTATTTCCTCCTCGCCCTTCCCCTTCCTCCGCTTTAAGCGCCGCCGCACGCGCCGCCTCAGCTCGAGTTCCGCGCCGTGACCGGCCCAGTTCATCTTCGTAGGAAACAATCGACGCATTATCATCATTATCCTCAGCATCATCGTCCTCCCCCTCACCTCCTTCACCGTCCTCTTTCCTCCACTTCTGATCAAAATCCACCAACCCTTCCCTCTCTTTGCGCCGCAACCTCGCCAGATACGCATCCCCCGGTCCAACATCATCCCCTTCGTCATCATCACTCTCTCCTCCGGCTAGATATAGTCCCCGCGACATATCCTCGTACATCCGCACCTTCTCCTCCATCCGCCGCTTAGATCGGTGCAGCGTGGCGGCATCCACGGCCCCGATGTCCTGCGTGCGCTGGTGCGTCTGCTGCAGAGCGGCATTGTCATCGTCGCGGAGGTCAGCGGCGGCGCGTTTCTGGGTGCCTTTGTTGGGGCGACTGAAAAGATCGGATTTGGGGGCTTTGGAGGGTCGTGGGCGGCCGGTGCCGCGGGTTGATGAGGAGTCGGTGGTGCTGTCTTTGGCGATTAGGGAGGAGAGGGTGCTGGTGAAGGCGAGGGTGGAGGCGGAGGGGGCTTCGGATTGGGATGATTTTTTGTTTCGTGGTTGTCCGTAGAGAGATGGATTTGACATGGTGGGTGGGGTTTGTTGCGACTGTATGGGAGGATATCGTAGATGTATCTGGTGTAGCTATATCCTGGAGTATTGAAGATAAGTAACCAACTAAACTAGGAGCTGAGATGGGTCCGATATAGGACGATGACTAAGCCGATCTAGGATGGGCCCCGCGCACCCCTCCGACTCATCTTTCCCCTCCTCTTGCTCATTCCTCTTCGCTCAATTGTCTCTCTGTGTGAAGTATAGCACTTTACTCGTTCAAAACCAATTGACAATGTCTGCTCCTGTCTTCCTCGGTGTCATTGGTAAGTTACCCCAACTGTCCCCAAACAGCGCTGCAGTAGCAATCAGCCTAGCACTGCGAGAATCACCATCACCACCATGACTACAACTGCCAAAGGTTCAATTATACTAACAAAACCACACCAGGCGTCGGTGGCGTCGGCACTGCCTTCCTGAACCAGCTCGCCCGCCTCCCCAACGCCCCCAAGCTCATCCTCCTCGCCCGCTCCACCCAAACCCTCCTCTCCCCGACCCCCGCCTACAGCCCCAGCATCCCCGCCGCGGAATGGAAGACCGCCAGCGCAACCCCCTCCCTGACCAAGTCCGGCGCCCTCTCCGCTGAAGAAATCGCCAACTACCTCTCCTCGGCGCCCGGCCGCTCCATCCTCGTCGACAACACCAGCGACCCCGCCCTCGCCGCCTCCTACCCCGTCTTCCTCCGCAAGGGCATCTCCATCGTCACCCCCAACAAGAAGGGTTTCTCCTCCGACCTGTCCCTCTGGAAGGACATCTTCGCCTCCGCGGCTCAGGGCAACGCCCTCGTCTACCACGAGAGCACCGTCGGCGCAGGTCTGCCTGTCATCTCTACGCTGCGGGATCTGGTTGCCACCGGCGACGAGGTGACGCGCATCGAGGGTGTGTTTTCGGGTACGCTTTCGTTCTTGTTCAACACCTTTGCGCCGGTTGGTGGTGCTGGTGCGGGACGGAAGTGGAGTGAGGTTGTGGCTGAGGCCAAGGAGTTGGGATACACTGAGCCTGACCCGAGAGATGATCTCAATGGTATGGATGTTGCGAGGAAGTTGACTATCTTGGCGCGTATTGCTGGGTTGGAGGTCCAGGCTCCCGATGCGTTCCCTGTTGAGTCGCTGATTCCGGAGGAGTTGAGGGGCTTGGATGGCTCCGCGGAGGGTGTTAAGACTTTCATGCAGAGGTTGGGTGAGTTTGATGGCCAGATGACGGAGATTAAGGAGAGCGCCGAGAAGGAGGGTAAGGTTGTCAGGTATGTGGGTAGTGTGGATGTTGAGAAGAAGGAGGTGCGTGTTGGATTGCAGCGCTTCGATAAGGATAGTGCTATTGCTGGCCTCAAGGGCAGTGATAACATCATTAGCTTCTATACTAAGCGGTATGGAAGCAACCCGCTTATTGTCCAGGGTGCCGGTGCCGGTGGTGATGTTACTGCTATGGGTGTGTCGGCCGATTTGATCAAGGTTGTGCAGAGACTGCAGCAGACCGACTTTTCACTTCTCTGATGACAGATGATGGATCTAGAGGATAAAATAGGATATTTCCCCCAAAATAAAACATGACATGATACCAAATGTATACTACTCTATGCCCTCAAATACGCCTTAACCGCCTCCCCCCACACAGGACCCCTCTTATACCGATGAATCTCCGGCACATTCCCCTCCTTCAACCCATCAATCGCCAACGCCAATTCCTCACCTAGCCCTTCCTCCTTGGTCTCCCGAATAGGGTACGTATACGTATGGAACGTGAACACCAGCGCCTTGGTCTTCGGTAACCGGTGTAGAGTCTGACGCTCACACCGAAGAAGAGTCTACACATAGTCAGTATGCTGTCTACTTTGCCACCAACTCATCAAGCGAATAATAAAAGACAAGAAATGGGACATACCCCCTCCCCATCCACCTCCTCCACCCCCAACACCCTCTCCCTTTTCTCCCCCTCATGCCCATGCAACCCCCCAAACGCAGCAAACAGCCCCGTCCCGGGGGTATTAATACTCCAATTGACGCGCTGCACGACCTTACCCACCTCCAATTTGGCAAAGAACCGATCCATACTCTTCTCCAACCGCTCTTTATACCGCGGCACGGGATCATGGATCGTCGAGAGCCGCTTTCCGAGCTTCTCGCGCGTGTCGAAGCCGGCGGGGTAGAAGGTCGTGTATGCTTCTAGGGTATATTTCTTCTCTTCTTCTTTCTCTTCTTCTGTTGGAGATGGGGATGATGATGATTCAGGAAGTAAGACGAGAAAGTCCTCATCGACGAATGTACCTAGTGTAGAGAGGATGTCACGTCCAGAGCCGCGGTGGGGGAGGGGAATGCGGGTGTTGGTTATTTTGTTAAGGAGAGTTTTAGTAGTACTCTCTTTGTTATTGGTGTTGTCGTTCTGGGGATGGGTGATCGTTTCAAGTGTAAACATGCTCGGATAGCGAGTGGGAAGGTAGACGCCGACTATAAACTCGTATAGTTCGGTGATGGCGGCGTGGACGGAACTTTCTGGCTTTTGGCCTGCTGGGGTGACGCCTACTACGATGGTGGGGTATTGGGTGAGGAGGGATTGACGGAGAGTGAGACGCTCTTTGTAGGTTTTGTCCATGGGGATGAGGTGGGAGATGTCGGTTGTTGTTAGGGCTGGAGAGGGGTTTTTATTGCTTTTGTTAGTTGGGGGTGTTCTGCTTCGGATGGGAAGGGGATATGATACCCATGCTGAGGTGGTACTTTGGCTTGAAGGGTCGGTATTTGGTGGGTTCGGTGGTTTCCCAGTTGAAGGATGGGAGGGGAGTGATTGGGGGGTAGGTATCTTGCTCTTCTTTTGTGACTTCATCTTGGGGGACGGTATGGGATGATTGCTGTGCGTGATGGTTAGTAACTAGTTCATATGAAGTGGTGAACAGGAATAGACGTACTCGATTCCACAGTCCGAATAACCACAGTGCAAGGACAAGAAAAACGACCACAATGGGGTTGTTTTGGATATAGAGAATCCAATCTTCTATGATGTACATGTCCATATTGATGATAGTTGAAGTCGGTGTGAACTGTCAAGCGGATGAGGGGGTCCTTTAGCTCATGTACATCTCAGTTATCAGTATTCTAGTACTGCATGTAGTGCATGCAGCGTATCGTGATCCGCGATTGGTTGATATGTCCGTTGCATCGCCGATTGCTCCAATTCCCGACTCGGCGGGAGTTGATAGCTGCTTGATAGAAGGGATGAGTGGCAATGGCGGTTGGAGATAGCTGGTAGATGCGGGGAAGACTTCCCCGTTCCGGCGATGGCTCACGAGGTTGTATTTGATGGGTACTACGTCGGTGATGATCCATGTGCGAGTTTGTCTTCTTCTTGGTCGATATGGTGAAGATAATGCATCCATTATGTCTGATAAGACATTCTTTTGGCGTGAGATATCCCTCGGATATTTTACTATGTCATAGGTTGGAACTTTACCTTGGTAATGCCGAGGTCAGCACTAAGACTTTGAATGATCTGTTTAAGATGTTATCGTAGTTACTTGGAAGGCAGGTACTTTCAATATTATTAGTGTGTAATGTAGCTAGCTTTGGATGGCTTACATCAGGTGAATTGTATAGAAGGATGAGAATTATGCAAGGTAGATCATACTGAGCAACGATACGAAAATACTAGAGCCACTAATTGAGAAATTCGAAAATTGGCTAGCAAAAGTCCAATAACGATGACAGTTGATATGTTCAGCAAACAGCTCTGGCCTGAAGTGAAAAAGAAATAAGCCATATAGGAATATCACGGAGCATACAGCCCCTGAACAAAGAGATAAAGTAAACCCTCATCCATTGAGCAAAGCAGGTAGGTAGGTATCCCAGCAACCGCTCGACAGAAAACCAATCACTAAACTAAAAAGATAGAAAAAGCAACAACCTAGTATAGGTACAGGGGTATTAAAAATGCCACATGAACAGAACCTCAAAAGCACGCCTCAAAATCATGCACCAAATCAGTCATCAAAGGGAGGAGATATGGAATGTGCCCTCACCAGGAGGTATCACCATCAATATCCATACCATTATACCTCACTCGCACCCCCAAATATAACCATCACCCCAGGTATATATCAATCCCCACCATGACCTCCACCATTAACCTCCACCTGAGCAACCACCCTCCTCGTCATCCCTTCTACCCCCTTCTCCTCCCGTCCACTGCCACCAACACCGCCACTACTTGTATTCCCACTCAACCCCACCAGTACTCGAGGCTGTCCATCCGGCCGCTCATTCAAACTCGGCGCCCTTGGCCGCTGCTTCCCGCGAGCTCGACCTCCCACGACCGGTAGTTCGAACGTCAACATGCGCCCCGTATACAGGCATATATCGAAGATGAGAAGCGCCGCCCAGGGGAAGATAGTCACGAAGCCGAGGAATATCTGCTCATGCGGAAATACAGTTAGTTGATTTGCACTCTTTCTGTCTCCATCAGGAGGATTCGGAGCGGGGGAGGGGAGGGGAAACGGACGAAGATGTGCACTACCGAGCTTTCGATGTAGGAGAGGGTAGGCGGGAGGAGGGAGTACCACGCCATCATTGGGGCGGCTTTATATTGTATGTCGAGAAGATGTGGTAGGTATAGGTTCGAAGCAGACCACTAGGAAGGTGGATTGGAGTATTGGGGTATTTGCATCGGTATCGGTGTGGCGGTCAGAGGCGGTGCAGTGTCCTTGCGGGATGCAGGTAATGTTATGAGGAGAGGTATTTTGCTCGGAGAGATCGTTGCAATTAATGAAAGGATGTGGTGGGTTAGGCTGCTGAGCTGGCAGGAAGGATCGTGTAGATATACTGTGGATGCTGGCAAGTCCGGCTTGGGGTCCGGAGATCCGGCGACAGGGCGGGCAGGCAGAAAAGGCGGGCAAACGGTGGTGTGATGCAGGGTAGGTAGCTAACGAACGAAGGTCGGACTTTCATGTGCGGAGAAGAGAAATGACAGGCGGTGGCATCACCGGAGGCGATGAGGCTTGGATACAACCCTGGTGAACAGGGGGAAACTGCTGGGATTCGATGATCGCCGGCCGACTTGGCGAGGATACGACCTCTGCCAAATCAGGCAATTCGTCAGCACCTTCCGCGGGGGTGCACGAACCACACTAGTATAAGCTGACTGTAGGGAACACAGACTATTTATGTTCAACAAGCAGATATAGTTTTTGTTAAATGTCCAGGAATATGCTTATATGCAATTTATGTACAGCAATTCTAATCAAAAGTCGTAGGCACATGTCTTCCGTACTCCGCCCAAATCCCATCCCAATGTCTATGCACAATCGTTATCGCTGTAAATCAAGATCATTTACCGTGGCATCCGGTAGTGTTCGTACGAGGTGAAGCTGGGGTCGTCCTGCTCTACAGGTCCATATCCCCTCGTCCGCCACCGATCCAGCGGCGTCACCGTCTCGTTCACCGCCGGGCCCTGCGCGTGATGGAGCAGCTCTGTCTCGCTCTCGTTTCGCTGCTGGTAGAGTCCACCGTTCATCGGGGCCGGTACGCGGAAGGCGGGATGAATATGGTCGTTCAATGTCGGGTCGTATGCGTCATGCGGCTTCAAGCCGGACAGCGACGACGGCAGCGACGGAGCGGGAGATGATGCCCGCGAGGAGGTTGGTGACCATTCTCCCAGCGCACTGGCCGGTGTGTGCGAGCGTTCGGTCATCAGATCGTCGGGCCGGCCGTAGATACCTCCGCCAAACTCGTCCCGGAAGTCGGGGCGGTTCTTGTAGTACGAGAAATCCAAATGGTTCTCCGGGACCACTTCGAACGGAGCTGCTGCGTTTGCATCGTCCATCATAGACTTTCCCGGGTGTGAAGACGACATGGCATCCATCGCGATGTCGGAATATTCACCTTCGCCCTCGAAAGTTCCCAGCCGGCCGCTATAGATACGCTTCAAGGCCTCCGCAGCCTTGGCGTGCACCATCGGCGTGATCAGTGGCTTGTAGAGAGCCGGGTGGCCGAACTTGGAGTTGAGCCGCTCAGATGCCTTCTTGTTCGGCTTGCTGACCGCCAGGGCTTCAGCATCTGTCAAGTTCGCGCGGTTGTAGAACGTGATATCGTCGTCGAACTTTCTCATGCAGTAGAACTTGAAGCCCAACATCAGGAGAGGAGGAGGAATCACGCAATAGACCATAGTCCACGTGCCCTTGGCGGTAGCCACGATGATGATGATAATGTTGGAGAGGATCACGGCAAAGAGCATGCGGTTGAACAAGACCCGCCAAAACTGCCCTCCAGACTCCGTCTTCGTCACGAATACATACAGGAGCATGTATTTCTTCATCATCGCATCCAGGCCAAAGTACAAAGCAGTAACGGGGAGGACAATCGGCTGCAGGGTAGCGAAGCAGAGGGCCACGGTCGCGTAGAATAAGAAGTAGTTATAGTAGCTTGCGTAGTCAAAAGCCGGCGGGGCTGTCCATTCAATCGCCTGCCGAGGCGTTGGCGAGAGAAACGTCTTGGAGAACCAGACCCAAAAGACCGAGACCAGCTGAATGAGGTCGATTGTGGCTCCGAGATTACGCTGCAGCAAATATGTCACCCAAAATGGCGAGACCTGGCACAGAGCGTTCACAATCTTGATATAGAGTTTCCCGTCTTTGATCGCTTGCCAGGCGTTTTCATCGGAGCGCTCTGCATCAATGACGGCGGACACGAATGTCCACGCCGCAGAAAACAAGGAAAAGACGATCAGATTGTTGAAGACGAAGAAAGTGTAGAGCTTGTTGAGAACATGGCGCTCTCGGGAGGTCTTGGTGACATCGCCGGCTCGGATTGCCAACCGACGGAAGATGATAGGCAAGACAATGTAAACAAGGGAGGTAACGGCAGGGGACAGAATACCCTGGACTGCGGCCCAGATGTAAGGACTGTTATCCATCGAAGTCCGGAATGCCGGCCAGACCGAGGCCAGGTTGTTCAAATTGGACAAGAAGATCGCAATCAGGCCGTTAGGTACGACGTACACCAGCGTAAGAAGCGACACCCAGATTGCACTAAGAAACCGCTTCCACTTGCGCGCAGCCTTCGACAGTGGCAGGTTTTCCCAAATGAGGTCATCGGGCCGGGGCGCCAGAACAATTGTAGTTCCTTCCGGGTGCTTTTTGCGCGCGGTATAAGCAACGGCGTGGGCATGCTCAATCATATCCCAGCTGACAAAACCAAAGGGCATGGCATTGCGCCGATCAATCGATGATCGAACATGCTTGATCTCTTCTTCCAGTCTTTTGATTTTATCCGTTAAATAATCAATCGCATCCACGCGGCCGTTAGTGTGCTCTCCTCTTTCCTTTCGCGGAGGGCGCATAGTCGGACGTTTCGGTGGAAGCCGATCTGGGTGTCTGAGGTACTTGGCCAGGACTGCTTCGAGTTCGCGCACAGTTTCATCGTGTTCCTTGATCAGACGAGGCAGTCCCTTGACGTTACGGCCGATGGAGGCTCGCGGGACGGCGGCGGTTGGATTTACCTCATCCGTCAAACGCAGAACACCTTCATCCCCTCGAGCTGCGGGAGGAATATCAGTAATCTGCCGGCGCAATAGGTTAGTACAGGTACATCGTGTCTATAGGGTTGCTTCAACGCACCATCAAGGTTCGCGCATGGAGACTGCGCTGGTATTCGGGACTCTCAAAATACTTCCTCCGCAGCGCCAGCACGCCTTTGTAATTTCTCCAGAGAAAGAAGGCAATGATCGCATCGAAGGCCCACGCGCAGATCACCTGGCCCCAGATTGCGTCGGACGTAACGTAGAGCACGGTCATCGTCGAGAAGGCACCATACTGGGACACTGTATCACCCGTGCTCTGTGTGAGATTGAGCGGGATCATCAAGCCGCAGCCGATGATGCTCAGGAAGATAAAGATATTCCGGCACATCTTGGTGAAGCGAACAAACATGGTTGCATCGAGCCCAATGCAGTCGACCAACGCCGGCTCCTTGGTCCGCAGCACAGGCTTGAGCCAGGCGAAGAATCCCCTGCCCACTGGCGGCGGAGTGTGTTTGTTATCGGCATGTTTCACCTTGGGCGCATAGACAATCGAATGGCGAGGGCGGAAGAGGGAGAACAATAAGGCCAAGAGGATGGAGAACCCCGCGGAGGTGGCTAATGAAGCCCAGATGGCGTTGACTTGGAACTATAAAAATGTCTTAGCTGGCTGTCGGAGGCTGAGAGTGGCGGGTGGGCGAGAAAAAAACATACGGCAGACGAGAAAGGATTCGAGATGAGCTTCAGGAATTGCTCCGTGGGGTCATCGCGCTGCTGAAGAGCGCTAGGATGCATGATGGCGGGCGAGACGAGGCGGCATCGAGGGAGCAGAACGAGGGAAACGAGGGAGGATGAGATAAAGACAAAGAAAGAAGGGACGATGCCACCGGAAGAGAAGGGAAGAAAACGAGAGTGAAACCGAACCAGATAAAGGAACTGATGGCCACGGAAGAAACTGAATGATGATGGAGAAGCAAGAGGGCCCGAGTGGGTTTTGTTGGAGGCGGGTCTGGAACACACGACGCCGACAAGGTTGGAGTGGCCGTTGCCCATCAATCCATTCTTCTGGGGATCAATGGGCGGTCTTACTTACGTACCGGAGGTACGTATCAGGCCCGATTGACAGGCAGGCTCGGTCGGAAATGCATTAATTAACTAAGTAGTGATACGCTGTCTGTGGTGTCATTGGTCCTCGCATGACCGGGGACAGCCGATCTAGAATGTAGGAAGCTTGATTTCCCCTGCTTGATTGCAGATGTATTCAACTATTCCCCCCCCTCCCCCTTCTATATCCTTCAGGCCCTCCATGCTCGTTCCTCTGCCGCACGGGTTTTCAGGGTCACTCGGTGACCGTGCCAGCAGTGCTCGCCTCAAAATCAGACTTTCCAGCAAGTTCAGTGACAAAAAAGCAAAAACCACAACAGCCCTGATCCACTCGGGCGATTTGGTTGGTTCATGCCCCATCCTCGACCGGCTTGCTATTCTGGTGGGCCAATCCCGGTCAGCCATTGCCAGCCAGTCTGGAACAATTTCTGATCATCTTCGGACTAGCGCTGCCTTTCTGAGACACATTCTTGGCACTTACACCCAGTGGAGTCTGGTATTTCGGGGCGTCCGTTGGCTTGATTGGCCGCAATACATGGCAATGCTGTCCGGGTACCTTACCTGACCATACTTACCAGTGTGGCTGACCAGCAACTCTGTGGCTCTGGGTCAGATGGAGAACAGAAGAAAGCACTTCTTTCCATTCCATCAAGTGAAAGAAAACGAGCCCTGTTAGCGAATCTCCGTCTCATTGGGCACAGTAGAAGAGAATGACGGCACCTCATGATACTCATGTACCGGCTGATGTGGCTATCTGATCCCTCGGATTATGTAACCCCTTTTCGCACCACGCATACTTTGTACTCTGCTTGGTGCACGGCTATTTCACTACTATTGCCAATAGTAGTGAGGATCCGTCTTACACAGTCAGGAAAAAAGGGGACAGAGTAGCTGAAGGTCATGAAAATTGGGAGCACCAGAACCACTCAGTCGATCGGGTTTCAGGGTCCAACACTATGACCCCATGGACTAGGGATTCTATTAGCCGCACACAGATGATGGTGGCAACGGGAAAGGAATTGATTGCATTGGTGCAAGATATAGTTGAGACAAGCAGAGCTGATATAGACGGAATAGCCTTCCTCTCACTGGTCGACCTCGATGGTGATCATGGGTCCAAGCTGACAGCATCACACCCGGGTATTCTATTTATACATACAGAGCGGCAAAGGACTCATGTTTGCGTGAATTGATGTCCTGAGACAAACTCCATTACCTACGGCTGATTGGAGCGAACACGGGTCCATGAAGTCATCGCTCGGTTACGCTGCCGAAGTGATCACAACGTGCGCATTAGGTTTCATACAGCAGACATTACTTTATTTCGTCTTCAGACTACTTACGGAGTACTACATACATCATCATCCGCATCATCACCGCTCTCAGAACTCCGTATCAATCAACAACATCAAGCATCCCCACAGAGGCAGCCAATGGGGCCCCATATCATGGCTCCAGGTTACGGTCAAACAAACAACATATTTTTGCCGTTCTTAAATTGTCATTTTATGTACTGGTATCTGGTTTCGTCATATTCCGAAGGCACATCACATCAGGTAAACGTCAAGACCTTTTTACAGCTGGCCAGCAGTGTTGAAGTCCTCCAGAGCAACCTGGACACGCTTGGACATGGTCTTCTCACCCTCACGAACCCAGACGCGGGGGTCGAAGAACTTCTTGTTGGGCTTGTCCTCACCGTCGGGGTTACCGACAGCGGTCAGGAGGTAGTCCTTCTTGTTGAGCATGTAGTCACGGATACCGGACATGTAGGCGAACTGCATGTCGGTGTCAAGGTTGACCTTGACAACACCGTAGCTGATAGCCTCCTTGTACTCCTCCTTGGAAGAGCCGGAGCCACCGTGGAAGACAAAGAAGACGGGCTTGTCAGAGGAGGAGTTGGTCTTCTCCTTGACGTAGGCCTGGTGCTTCTGGAGAAGCTCGGGGTGGAGACGGACGTTGCCGGGCTTGTAGACACCGTGCACATTACCGAAACCAGCGGCAATGGAGAAGTAGGGGCTGATGGGAGCAAGGGCGTTGTGGATGGCAAGGATATCCTCGGGCTGAGTGTACAGGGAGTTGTTGTCAACATCCTCGTTGTTGACACCATCCTCCTCACCACCGGTGATACCGATTTCCTAAATAGAGTCAGTCGACGATCTTATCTATTAGCAATGACAGTAACACATACCATCTCGAGCCACTGCTTCATGGGGGCAGCACGCTTGAGGTAAGCGGCGGTGGTCTGGATGTTGTAGTCGACGGGCTCCTCAGACAGGTCAATCATGTGGCTGGAGAAGAGGGGCTCGCCGTTGGCCTTGAAGTACTCCTCATCCGCCTCGAGGAGACCATCGAGCCAGGGAAGGAGCTTCTTGGCGCAGTGGTCGGTGTGGAGGACGACGGGGACGCCGTAGGTGGGAGCAATGCTGCGGATGTAGTGGGCAGCGGCGATACCACCAGCAATGGAGGCCTTCTGGCCATCGTTGCTGACACCCTATCATGAACAGTCAGTTCCTGTTTCTGGCTTCAAAAGAGCACCTCTGGGTCAGGAAGAATATTCCAAAACATACCTTGCCAGCGAAGTAGGCAGCACCACCCTGGGAGACCTGGAGGACGATGGGGCACTTCTGGTCGCGAGCAGCCTCAAGGCAAGAGACGACGGTGGAGGAGGAAGTCACGTTCTAAAGTGATGGGGGCAGCTGTTAGTCACTGGAGTCTGGTTTTGCGGGATGGGATTGAGGGGTGGTGAGACCTACAATGGCGGGGATAGCAAAGCCCTTCTCCTTAGCGTAGTTGAAGAGACGGAGAACGTCATCACCAACGATGACACCGGACTTGCGGGAGAGCTGTTCAAGGACACCCATTGTGATTGTTTGTAGATGAGGACTAAGGGATATAAACTGATGAGTAATTGATAGATTGATGAATGGAGAGAAGAGAAGAGGACAACAGGAGGAGCGAGACAGGGAGACCAAATAAATTCTGTGGCAGAGGACTAAAAGCTTTACCGAGCGACGAATACGGAGCTGGACATTTAAATGACGAGCACGGGCAAGGAGGGGCAACGCAGGACCAGGAGGGGGGGAACTTGGGACATGGAGGGGCCAACGGTACTCGAAGGACTCACCGGGTGGTGGGGAATGATGTGTTCAGTATGATTTCAGTGACCGGTTGAGGTTCCACGGGAGAGAGCTGTTCGTGGTGATGCTACTGAAAGAAGATGATTGCAGATCAAGAAGGGGGTAAAGAAGAGAATTGGAGGGAAGAGGGGGAGAAATTTCCAACTTCTATCCGGGATCTTGTAGAGATCTTTTTAAAGTCTTCAACACCGGACAAATCTAGTCCGAGGCTATGATGATGCTTCCATCTTGTTCCCTTTCCTGCCTGCTATGGTGGGGTTCATTCGGAAGCCCGCAATGACGCTTCTGGCTGCCTCAGGCTTCATGATTCTCCCGGGAATCCCCGCGCCCATCACATGACATCATGCAGGCTGCCTTGCCTTCGGTCCGACTTTCTATCGTCCAGGAATCAAGCAGCAGTATTGCTGCTGGTCTGCTAGAAAGGTGGATACAGTACTCCGCCTTACACCTACATAGCAGGTACGTAGTTTCTCAGGGTCTGTATACAGCAGCATAGACAGGGCGAGAGGGTACATCATCACGTCGCTGTGATCAATGGTCAACCGGTTGCACTGGACAACCATTTCGGCTACTGGCCCCTTTTGGGTTCCTGCCTGCGAAAACACTGACCCAGTTCTCTCCGTATTTCTTTCGTGCTTCATCCAGCACCGGAGAATTCAGCGGGAATTTTCCTCCGTTCTCGTTGCAGGATGTTCCAACCACTTCGTTGCTTTTCTGCCGGTCACGGCCTAGACTGTCCTTCCCCGGTCCAGCTGATCTGAAAATAAGATAAAGAGGGGGTGCTCTTCCGCCGATATGTGGAGCCTTGGGTAACCCCGGGTTGGGGATATCCTCGTCCTTGTAGTATTCCGGGCCTAAAACCGGATAACCACCGGCGAAACGTTCAACCTGCATGGTCCGGATGACTGGCTGGCTAGTCAGGATTGTTCGAGGCCCGAGGAAAACTTACCCCAACGGTATCGAATCAGCTAGTCCATGTCTGTAGTGTTGTGTTTACGCATATAGTCAGTACGTATCCACTTTCTACTAGGAGCGCAATCCCCAAAAATTCTCGTCATTGGAGTGTAACTACTGTCACATTATAATACATAGAGCTCAATTCAAATGGGTAACAGAACTATTGCAAAAGTCGCATCAAGAAATATCAAGCGTCGGTTCCGTTCACTTGCGGCGAGTAGGCTCCAACGAGCATACTGAACTGTCCTCCTCCTGCGGCACCAACCAGCTTCTTTCCGTTGACGTGCTTGTTTTGGAGGAGGGTTGGCCGTTCAACCTCATCCACATCGCGGTGGCCGGCCTGACGCTGTACGTTGAAACCCCAGCTGTACGCCTGACCGTCTTTGGTGATAGCAAAGGAGTGGTCACTGGAGGCCGTCGCGAAGACAACCTCTTCCTTGATGTCGGTGAGGGGAGTTGGCACCGTCAGGATACGGGGCCGTCCATGCTCATCGTGCACAAGCTCCTCCTCCGGCATGTCCGCCAGCGGGATACCAAGAGCCTTGTTATCCACGCGTCCCCATGAAAGGCACTTTCCGTCTTCGGTGACAGCCACACTGTGGTCCTTTCCACCGCAGATGGAGACGATCTTGCTGTGCTTGCGGAAAGACTTGACTTCCGTCGGGTAGAGAACGACGGCATCGCTTTCTCCAGCGCTCATCGGAACGGCCGTCTGCCCGAAGTTGTTAGAACCCCAAGCGTGAACGCGACCGTTCTTGCGGACAGCGAAGGAGTGGTAAGAACCAGTTCCGATGCTCACGACATCCGACGGAAGCGCGCACTGTCCCGGGATGAGACTCTCGAGCTTGCCGTGCAGACGTCCAGAAATTCTCCGACCAAGCTGGTTCTGCTCCTCACAACCCCAGGTCAAAACAGCGCCCTTCGCTGTCAGCGCCAGGACGTGCTGTGCGCCAGACGCAAGCTGTGTCACTTTCTCAAGACCGGGAACCAAAACTGGCTGTCTTTGGATCTTCGTCTCGGGAGAGAAACCGATGACACCGTTGCTTCCCTATTCCGAGTTAGGTCAAAAGTAACAATAATTCGAACATAAGCGTGGCAACTCACTCTGAATGTACCCCAACCATAGACTCGACCCTCCTGAGTGAGAGCAAAAGTGGCACTATCCGTCGCGGTAATCTGCGTGAAAACAGTACCTTCAGGGAAGAGAGCAGAGTCCACAGCCGTGGGAGTCGCCTCCTTCATGTTGAGGTCAACCTCATCGTCATCAGAGTCCGAGTCCGACTCCTCCTTAGCCTCATCGCCATTCACGCCATCACCGTTCTCCTCCACCTTGCGCTCCTCCTTTGTATCTCTACCCAGCGTACCTTCATCATTGACACCCCAAGTAAGGATCTTGTTATCGTGCGTAAGAGCAGCCGAGTGCACACCACCGATAGCCAACTGCACGACACCGACCGAATCCGCGGGCAGCTTCGGGTTCAGGACCGGACCAGGAATTTCAGACTTTTTCGTCGCATCACCAAGACCCAATTCACCGTAGCAATTCGTTCCAAAGACATATACATCGAGGCGCTGAGTAGGTGCGTGGTTGATGACGGCCAGAGCTTCTACCGGAACGAAACAAATACCCGTTAGCCCAACATTCCGCGGAGCAACATCATCGAACGCGCCACAAAAACAAACCCCAAAACAAAGCAGGACACTAATTTCGCAACGCAATTGATCGATCGAACTCACCCTTCTGCTTCTTGGTCACCCGCGCCGGCGCCGCCGGTGCAGCCCCTGACGTTGTTGTCTCTTCCACAGAGTCTGCAGCCTTACGCTTCCTCGAAGAAGCCTGGGGTTTTGCGCTCGCGCTGGTGTTGGCGGTCTTCTTCACCTTGTCGGCAGCAGCAGTCTTCGAGGCAGTCTCGGTTTTGGCCTTTGAGGCGCTAGATGCTGCGCGTTTAGGAGGCATTGTGTGATGGTGTATTTTGTATTTCGCCTTTTTTTGTTTTGAAAAACGGTAAGGTGAGATGTAGTATGTGATGCCTACACCCGAATTGATAGAGGAATTGGTAAGTAGGCAGAACAAATTGACAAAGTATGAGAGAAAAGGGAAAGAAAAGGAAATAAAAAAAATTGCGTTAAGGGTTGCGGAAACTAGGTCGGTGAGATTATGCGGTGTTGGAGAAATTCAATAGTAGTAACACACCAGAATAAACAATAATAAATATTGAAATGATGGCAGGGATATTCGGAACCTGGAACAGAAAAGTGTTGTGCGCTCCAATCAGGGAGTGTTGTTGGGACGGGAGGCGGTTCCGGGGGCTCCCTACACTGACTAAGGCGGTGATGAGGTGATCTTGGGTTCCCTGTTTTTCAAGGGGCGCACTGCATTAGCGGTCGTGTCCGTCGTATGACAGTCAGGGGACGCGGGAATGTGAGTGTTACTGGATAGTAGTAGAATGGAGATATCCGTGATGTGAGCTGTGTTTTTACTATCTCGAAAAATAAGAAGTAGGAACCTCGTGCATGTGTCTAATACTGTGTACTGTCTAATATGGTTTTGATGTTCCTTTTGCATAACTGTCATTCCTGAGCCGCTGCGCGACAAGGCTCCTTACTTGGGTCGGTGAAATGGGCTTGTATATACCCCCGAGATACTCCTCTATCTATCCAGTATGCGTTTTACTTTTTTCCCTCGTATATGCATAAAATAGAAGTGAAATTGAAGACCGCTTACGCGCCAGGCGTGGGCTTCTCAATCTCATAGAACAAGAGGTAGACCTCGCGCTGCATCCCCAAAACATCGGATGTTTTGCATTCTTTGACTTTCTCGTCCGAGACACGCCACCATCGGTCGTTCTGCTTACGGCGTCGACGGAGCCGACTGCTGGATCCGGCCGATGCTTCAACTGAAGTTGCTGGCGTACTGCGATCGCTGGTGAACGACGCTCGCGAAAATGACTTGCTCCAGCGTCCACCCTCAGTGGAGGATGAGCTGTGCGGGTCTGACACAGGCGATAGGTTTTGCTTTGATGTTGACGACTTCGAGCGAGTGCTCTGGAAAGACACCCGTGGGCTCGATGTCGGTCGAGGCGTCGGCGACGGGGGTGGTTGCAGTTGAGAGGGACGGGTCGGTGACCCTGTCGATGTCGAGATGCTTAAAGGTGCCGGCTCGCTCTCTGAAGACTTGCGAGCCTTTAGCTGAGGGCTAGGCGCCTCGGATGGGTTTTCGCTAGTTGCCCGACTCTGAGCGTACGAACTGAATACATCTGGCGTTGAGAAGGGTGGATAAAGAATATTGCGTCGGAATGACTCGTAATGTCCGCTATGGTGGCTGCCTTTATGACAGACAATTGCCAACAGCTTGTACCATTCTCGGCTCAAGATACCACCCAAAGGCAACCGCTCCGGGAAAGATACTTTAGCTGCGTTCTTGGTAGAGCTGCTGTGGTCAAAGATCGATCGCGAAAGATGAATGGCAATGATTTTGGGGAAGGCCGTTATCCGCATATGCCTCGCAATTTTTCGTTTGGGGGCGAGATCAGAAGCTGGCAAGAATACACCCTCTAAAGGACCTTCTGGGTTTGTGGCGAGGGCCGTCTGAATTTGCTGGATCTCTGCCTCAAGCCTAGCCCGGTCATCTTTGGCGCGGGTCCGGTGCAATTCCTGGGCCTTGACCTCAAGAGCATGCTGCAATCGACATTTGTCGCACTTGAAATCTTCGATATATTCAGTTTTGAGTAAACCGTCAAAGCAGGCGCTAAGCGTGGTAGAGCTCTTTTGAGGCACTTGCAAGGTCAAATTTACAAAGGAAGTCTGGTTAGGCTTGTATTGATAGTGGCAAAACAGGCACTCGATCTGGGACTCGAGCTTTCCTTCGAAAGGGAAGCCGTACTCGTGGTCGATTTCTTTGAGCTTGTTGTCGATAATGGTGGGCAACCCGTTCTCAGATCCGTCATCAATCCGCACCTCAACCTCTGCAGGGCTGTTGGGAGAAGTCTCATTGCCTGGTTCTACAGACTCCGGGCCTGGCGACAACTCCGGTATGGTCTTCGCTCGTGATCGTGCTTTAACGCCGGCGTGGTACTCATCGCAAAGCCTTTCTGCGACAATCTGCAAGAACTCCTGCGCATCCTGCTGACTGCGACTGATCCGCGTCCGATAGGCGTACTCAAGAGACTGGATGAAGGATCGCGCAGATATGGTTTTCTTGTAGATCGGGCGTTCGTTTAGTCGGTCGAGCATCTCCTTGAGAGCTCTGGTGATGCTACCCTGTTGCAGTTCCCTTATCCTGTCCGGCTTCGCATCCCGAGACATATCATCCGGTGGGGGGAGTTCGTTGTATATATCAGAACCGTCTAGTTCACGCCTATGAAGCTCTCGGATCAGGTAGACACGCAGATCACCAAGCCCTGCAAGAGCCTGCAGCACCGAGTTGATGAAGCAGTCATTGGCGGGGTTGGATAATCCAACAATATTCTTCTTGCGGGAATTATCGTGTGACTCGTCTCCATCGATAGTGTAGTTGGGGCCGAAGACATAAAATAGAGCAATAGCCGCAAGAGATGCTCCCGCCGCATAAGCGGCGACAGTGCTTGATTTTTCCTGCATCACCCCTTATACGTGTCGGGTTGTGTAGCTGAGGAGAGCAGGACTGGGGGGGCGGAGAGAAGCGGTCGTCGACGTCAATGCTATGGTTGATCCATCGAAAGATGTGCCATGAAGCTGGGTATTTCAAACAGACACGGAACTCCGGTGCCAAGAAGACGAGCCAAGCCGAGATTTTCCCTCCTACACTTGTATCCTCTCACATATACGCAGCCTTCAGCGGTCCATGGGATCAGATGGGGGGTTTTATCAGTTGTTCGATGGCTATGAGCGGGATAACCGTCAGCAGCAGTTCCCCCATAGAACCGAGGGTGTGGAGAGGGCATGGGGTAATTTCAGGTAGACAGGAGGGGGGCCGCCAATGACAGCGTTCTCACCAGAATAGAGTAATGAGGCGGCTGGTATCCCACTCCAGTGCATGCCAAACACGAGAATATTTGGCGAACCTATTCGACGCGGTAGCCGCAACGGAAGACTTCTCGTTGGATAGGCGGTAGCAGGGCTGCTTCTCTGTTTTCCTTGGTATTCTCGGATGTTTCTCAGCGCCGAGCGCCCGCTATGCTCAGCGCACCGACGGGAGACTTCGGCGTTTCCCACAGCGGTTCATGATCCCCACATTACTTTATTGGTAATTCACTATGGTTCAACTATTCCGAAGATCTGAGGATCAACGAAGAGATCGCAGTGGTAGTTCGAGACGTCTGCAAAGCTATATTTTTAGGTAATAGGGGATGGTTGCAAGCTTGGAAGGGCTCACTCCTGTCGATAGAGCACGCAAATCCCTTGCTGCCTCCTGTAATAGCATGGCGAGGCTCAGTGTAACGAAGCAATCGGATAATCAAGCTAACAACCACTGCCGATACATGGCAGGTCAGGATTAAGAGCACGAAGTCCGAACGAACCCCACGAGAAACAATAATGATGAGCGGGGGTGCCCGGTGTGATCGGGGTGAGAAGGAGGAGAGGGGCACTCGAATGTTCTATTTGCCTGAGCCTCCGCCTCAGCCCGAGTCACAAAACAAAGGAAACTACCACGCGAACACACTAGCACTTGTACACTTCGTGGGAGCCTACCCCATAACGCATGATATTACTTTAACAACACTTTTTGTTGCCTCTATCCTAGTCAATAGTCTAATATCATAACATGCTAACATTCATAAACCATCGAGATTTCCAGGAAAGCATCGTATCAATCGGTACCCATAATACACGCAAAAATCCTTTTTTCAGAAGCCAGCCTGATATTGAAGAAGTGCATCATTTAAGCCCGTAGGGACTCGGGCAAAGTAGCAACCTTTTCATTGAAAAGATCCTCAGCCTGCTTCCAGACACGGGCGTTTTGCCGGTCCTTCAGCTGGAGCAAGCTAGGGAGCAAGGCCTGGCTGAACATCTCCGAACTCTCACGAGGCAGAAGAGACGGAAGGTGATCGATGCTGATCACACTCAGGCCAGCAACCTGGCTTCCGCCTGCCAAGGTGACGGGAACAGTAGGCTTGTCAAAGGTAGTAGTGATAGAATACACAGGGAGAGGGTTGTGGGGGTTGGTACTATTGATAAGAAGTTATACAATGGTCAGCGGAATTCCCGAGGTCAGGAAATGGGATCCTTACGTATCAGCGCTCACATCGCAGATGACCGACAAGCGGCGGTTCGGCGATGTAAGAGTCTCTGGAGTAACGAAGGGAGGGATCTGTGCGCTGAGGTAAATGCAGTTGACGAGAATATCGACATCCTCGACGATTTCCCGGAAGGGACCGCCTACAATAAGTGTTAGTGCACGAAAACAACAAAAGGCTAAAGACAACTAACCCTTCTTGGTTTCCTCGATATCCCACCGAACAATGTCGGAGTCTGGAATACCCACGTCCTTGGCGAGCTGCACAGCACCACTACCACAACGGCCGAGCTGTGACATTGTCAGAAGAGTTGTTAGATTAGACAAGAGACAAGACGAATAACTCACAGCGCCAATGACAAGAATCTTGGGAGAGCGGCCAGACTGCTTCTTACCCTCCTCGAGGGACTTCTTGACCGACTCGATCAGGGCATCCTGGTTGATGTACGGAACCTCACCAGGCAAAGGCTCGCCCTCAGGGTGCGTCAACTGCCAAGCCCAGTTCTTAACAGCCAAAGCGGAACCGGCATAACCGGCGGACCAACCGAAAGCTAAGGCATAAGATCAGCTGCTGTAATGGTACATATTCATGCATAGTTCTTACCAGCGACTCTCCGACCGACATCATCGGTGAGGAATTCAAGATCCAAGAGAGTACCACCTCCCCGAGGCCAGCGGCTGAGGACCTGCTCCCAGCCACCCTGCTGCTTGTAGCAGTGTGCAAAGGAGATGTGAACGTGCTCCAGGGGGAAATCATCCTCAGGGAGCTCCTTGAGACCCAGAACGTAGGCATCCTTGGGGGCATCCTTCACCCAAGAACCTTCCTCCACCAGCGGCGCGCCAATCTGTAAGATAGGAAGGTGAGATTCCGTACGAACAAAAGGGTGACGTGCTTCTACACGCATACCTTGGCAAAATCTTCGTCTAGAAAGAGATAATAATGTTAGACAGGTTCACAAAACCGAGTGTAGAGATGGCAAGCATTAAAGGATACAAGCTGCTAACCAGCCGTAGTGACCCCTTAAACGTCATTGAAATTGTGGATTAAGAAAGGTGTCCCTCTTACCATCAAAAATCCGCTGGGTGGAGCGCTCGACAGTCACTTCATATCCAGCATCCATAAGAGCCTTGCAGGTAGTCGGTGTCACTGCACCATATTAGCATACTAGGGTAATATGCAATTGGCTTTGAGGTCCAATGCTCACAGGCAGACCGAGCCTCGGCGGGCTTGGTTTCGGCACGCAGCCAGATCTTGTTGGAGGACATGTTTGTGAGATGGCAATTGGGTGTTATCTGCGTAAAGTTGATGTTCAGAATCAGAATTTTAATGTTCTTCGACGAGAAATTAATGCTATCGCTGCTGGACCTATGACACAGACTTGCCCCTCTGGTGATAGCGGGGAAGAAGAGTGGTTGTTCCGTCCCGGAATGTGACTCAGCGTGCACTGTCATCGCCGATTTCGGCGATTTGAGATGCTGCGATTACGAGAGGTCAGCCCTAGAATATGCCTCGAATAAAAGTGCCAGAGATGGCTACCATAGGGTTGTTCTCAATGGCATAGAAAACAATTTAGCTTATCATGCTAATCAAGTTCATATTCTGCTATTCGAAGCAATTGATACTCTCATACACAAGAGGTGTCCTAATTCCCGTCTATCTTGATGAATGTCCATTCCTAACGTCATTGAGACAAACAATCGGAGGCTTCAAGGAGCAACCTTAGTGCGACTGCGTGTTCGACTACTGATACCATCCGTCGGGGGCTCTCTTTTGACAGATTCCTTTGCAGTTTTGGATCGCCCACCCTTCTTGTCCCCATTTGTAGTTTGGCCTTTCTTAGTGTGCTTCGCAGTCGTAGGAAATGGCGGTGCGGTCTCCGGCCCATTTTTCTCTGCATCATTCCTCTTCTTCTTCTTGATTGCAGGCTCCGTTGCATCATCAGCGCCAGTTTTGCCCGCTTCCACTGTCGCGGGTGTCACCTCGTGATCCCGCTTCTCACCCACATTCGACTCAGTAACAGACTCCTTGGGAGCTGTATCTACAGATGTGGGAACCTGCGAGCGGGGTTCCGTCTCATCGGTAGATTTCGCGTCATCAACGGTCTTGGTGTCTGGAGTAGGCTTGTTCTCCTCAGCGGGCTCAGTCGCGGAGGATAGTTTCGCTGGAAGATTGGCGCCATTTGTTGGCTCTTGTTCTTCTGAATTGTCAGTACATGACGTCTGGAGCATGAAGGAGAGCCGGACGAGGAGAAACCACAAGGCGAGAAGCATATAGAACCGGACCTTGACATACCTGATGATGTGTTGGAGTGATTACTAGGTTGGGAAACCATAACTGCCCGCAATTGCTGGATAAAGCGGGAAATGGTGAAGTTTCGTCAAAGGTGCCTTCGTCTTGTCTGCAAAACTTGTGGTCGCGAATGGTATGCGACTAGTATTCCAATCAATGAATGAAAAAGTAGCCGAAGATCATCTGCTCAGACGGAGCGGTTGTTGAGAGAAGGTCCGAGAAGAAGACGAGGTGAGGTTGCGCCGTGACGTTTACTAAGGCACGATCAGGGGCGCTAGCCCGATTCACGCGGAACTCAATCTCGGCAGTCCCCTCTTGCATTCCAGATCGAGAAATGTACAGAACCACTAAGAATTGCACCGATGCTCAGCCCGAGGGGAAGAGATAAGCCCTAGCTGCACCGGGGTTGTTGTTAGAGGTAAGCACGCCAAGAAGAGGAGAAAGCATCCCTTAGCGGCAGGAGTGGAGTCCGATGCGGAGTATTAATGCCGGGAGGAGTTGGTGTTTTGGTGTGACTGTCGCAATGACAATGCTGCTGGCTGGCTGGCAGCGAAACATGGCTGACGAATCTCATCCCCTCGATCTGCGCGCTTCCGTTAGGATCCGTGACGCAAATTAGCCCGGTCAAAGAGCTGCTTTGCATGAAGACTTTTCGTAAATTATTCCACAAACGCTGTAGAAGAACGGTTACATCAATCAGGTCCACGCCATGTCTACTCGGAGTAGTCGAGAAAGCAAAGCCTTTTCATCTGCGGATGCTTCATGTTCGACCTTCGCTTTATCCGTGTCTGACACGTGCTGCAGGATACCTGCCAGCCATGTGGCATCTCCCCGCTTCCCCTGGTCCATCAAAAGACGGAGCGCGACCGAGCCACTGCGCACAAATACCTCTCGTAGGCCCACCGGCCATGTCTGCAAGGTGGGCATATCCTTATTATACACATACCGAAGAAAGGGCTTCGGGTCGGGTACTGTAGGGTGGTAGAGAGCCACTGAGGCAGTGACAAAGTCCGTACACACGGTAGCAATCACCCTGGCGTATTCTTCATAGACGGATGCAGACACCACGTTATTATCATTCGGTACTTCCCGACTGACCTGCTGGAACAGGTATTTACCAGCGTGTCGAAGAAGGTTTTTCGTGTCACGTCTGTTATGCAGATCCCCCATGGAGAAATACATATCTCCTACCTGCACGTAGTACCGCATAGCGGAGGACAAGCCACCTCCATATTGATTCTCAGCGGCAAGAAAATCTGTCAGAAGGTTTCTAGCGACACGCTCGGCGAGGCTTCGGCTGATATGGCCATTGAAGGCCCGAAGATCGGCATTGGCCAGCATTTCCAACCAGGTCAAAACAGTATCTTGCATGCCCTCCGCAACCATGAACTTCACCAAGGTGGCAGACGTCTGTCGATGATCAAATATCTTTAACCGATCTCGCCAACCTGATGCAAGCCACCAGTTGACAACTTTGGTCGCTGCGTTGGAATCTTTCATGGCCTTGACAAAGTCATCGCCGGTACCTCTTGCAAGCATTAACTGATACTGCAAGCATTGGAGAAGGTCGCCTTTAGTGACATGTCCTGCCGCTGCCAGTTCGTCGAATACCACCATGGGCTCTGTCAACATTCTCCGTTGTTTCGCATCGCGCATGCCTGACGCATTACTGGAGATGGGGGAGGCCGAGGGGGCTACCCGGAAAAGTGGGTTGTCCAAGATGTTGTGGAGAAGTCTATCAGTCGCATGAGCAGACGAATGGGAATTTTCTGGTGGATGCTCGGCAGAAGCTCCATTACGGTCGGATGTAGAAGGGTTGTTGGTCGGATATTCACGATCGAGCTGGCGACGGAAGGAGGATGTGATGGCATTGAGGAGTTGCTCGGACTGACGAGGGGTGCGGGGAAGCGGAAGATGCAATTTAGACCAAGGATATCTGACGGCCGGGGAGGCCCTCATAGTGGAAAATTATCACAAATGCAGCGCCTGTCGCAAAAAGCAGCTAGATAATAAAAAATGAAGGCTGTCGACACTGGTTGGACCCCTTCTGCTAGGGACAAGTCCCGGGCTGCGCCTTATCCAGCAAGTCACGAGCGACTTTGGCCCAAAACGACGGGCGGTGAGCAAGGGCTGCCAGTGCCACCTCACCACGCGATCAAGCCTGGCTGTGAATTGGAAGGGAGCTGAAGATGATCTATCCCTCAATTGAGTTGACTGGTCGCCCAGTCGGAATTTGAACAGATGTAGGATAAATACAGTGTGGCAGGTGCCGGTCCACCATGAATCTAAAGGAACACATGCCTGGCTTAACTGATTTCCACATTACCATCGTCATAATACTAGCAGTAAGTAGTGATGACGAAATCATCGACAGAGCGAACCCAAAGACTCGGAACGCCCATCAGGCGAGGTGGTACGAGGTAAGTAACAAACCGATTGGTAGGTAGAGAGAGCAGTTCTACCCCAATAATGAGCAAAAAAAAGCAACTTCAATTCTCATCTACTACAATAGCACCAGTAGCACTGTACGTAGCTAAGCAATTAAGTCAGTTGGCAAAGTAGTACTACTACTACTCCGTAGTTATCCCAGTGATCGGGTTGGTAAATTGGAACGCGGTAAGGTAAAGCAGGTAACACTGCCCAGGACCGCATGCTCGCTAAAAACGGGGCGCGGGCAACCAACGCGACCGACCGAAAGTCGCCTTCTCTTCCCCTTCCGTCCCATCCACACCTCGAACCCCATCCATTCAATGAACTCGATCTGCTGCTAAGTAGTAGTCTTTCCCTACTAAACTTTCTGCACCTCCTCCCCCTTCACCTCTAATTATTATTTCCTTCTTATCTTTTCTTGTGTCTTTTGCATCCTTTTTTTATCTCTCGACTCTTTCGGTCTCTTTCTTCTCCTCTTTCCTCCCTCCCAAACCCAAAATCCTGGCGGTCCTTGTGTGCCCTTAGTGGTTCTGGTGCTGACCTCTCTCGTGAGGCTGCATCTCATCATTGCTACCGTACTAAGTTACGACCTTTTTACCCGCTTTTTCTTCCCACTAGCCGCACCTTGATTTCCTCCCTTCGTCCACGTTGGGTCCTCTCCGATTCCTTCATCTTACTTCTCCATACGGGAGAACCATAAATACCAATAACAGATATGTCTGAAGTTCAAACAAGGCCTTCTGCCTCTCGTGGCAGGGTATCTACCCGTGGTGGCCGTGGCGGCTATAGCTCCAGAGGTGGTCGTGGTGGTAGCAGATCCACAAAGGCAGACAACTCAGACGGCGCACCCACCGCATATGAAGACGAGGGAGAGCTTGGTCAGATGAAGAAGAAATACTCGGACACTCTGCCCATGCTGAAGGAGCTATTCTCTGATTGGACTGATGAGGATCTGGTCTTCGCTCTGGAGGATGCAAACGGTGACCTTGAGGAGGCAATTGATCGCATTAGTGAAGGTATGGTTTTCATACTGCTACTTGGAATAGCTCAGGGTTTCTGGGTTTTACTGACGCTACTGCTTCTATTCCCACAGGCAATGTCGCTCAATGGGGCGAGGTAAAGAAGAAGACTACGGACCGCAGCCGCCCCAAGACCAAGGAGGTACAGAGCACTCCCGTCGAGACAGTCGCCCCCTCGGTTCGAGGTCGTGGCCGTGGTGGCTTTGAAGGTCGTGGTCGCGCCCGTGGTGACCGTGGTCGTGGAGGTCGTGGTGGTCGGGCCGGTGCTCATACCAATGGAACTCGCACGGAGAAGCCAGCTGTCGCCACTTCGGTCGAGGAGACCACAGCTACGCCTGCGGCTGCTCCTGAGCCTGCCGCGGCTACCAAGCCCGAAAAGACCGTCGATGCCGAGCCTGCTGCTGCAGAAAACGTTGACGATGGCGCCAAGGAGGCACCCAAGAGCAGTGTGATCCCGGAGGGCACAAAGAAGGGTTGGGCTAGCTTGTTTGCCAAACCGGCGCCGCCGCCTCAGAAGAAACCTGCCGCTCCTGCTCCTGCTCCTGCTCCTGCTCCTGCACCCGCTCCCGCTCCTGCTACCACCGCTGCCCCTGCCCCCGAGAAGCCTGCTGCTGCGCCTGTAACGGAGCAGAAGCCAGTTGAAACCGCCCCGGCTCCTGCCCCAGCCCCGGCTCCTGCCCAGGCTCCTGTTCCCGTCCCGGTCCCCATCCCCGTTCCTGTCCCTGCCGAAAAAGCACCCGAACCAGCTATTCCTCAACCTCAACCGGCCGCAGAAGAAGCTCCTGCCGCTACTCCATCTTCCGCTGATGTGCCCGCTCCGAAGGATGATTTGACGAAGAACAACCTTGCCCAGATCCCCGATGTCTCTCCTCCTGCTCCCACGGCTACCGCAGCTAGCACCGTGGGCAGTGCCCTTGACTCTACCCATCTTGCAGCGGCTGCCACTCCCACGCGCGCTGCTCCTGGAACTTACCCTTCGAGTGCCTTCAAGCAGAGCACCCGCACCCCTGGCACTCAACGTCGTGTGATGGAACAACAGGAAGCTGTGGTCATGCCAGGAAACCATGCTGTGGATCGTGCTGCGGTCCAGTTTGGCAGCATGGGATTGAACGGCGATGCCGCCGATGTTGACATTGATGAGAACAGAGAAGAAGCTGAGACCCGTGCTCAGCCCCCTCAGCACTCCCCTGTTGCTCCTCGTGCCTCGTTGCCTCCTTCCACACAGGCTCAGGTGCCCACTGAAACCCCTGCAGTCGCTCGCCCGGCTCCGGGACTTCCTCCCGTGCCCCAGGTCTCTGCCGCTGAAAACTCCTTCACTGACTTCGCCCGCTACACCGACGCTCATAAGCCCTACGACCCCTTCACCCAGCAGGTCACGCAGCCTCAACCTCAGATCCAGGAGCCCTTTGCCAACCAAGCTCCTGTGCAGCCTACCGTCACGACCGGGAGCGAGTATTCTCCCTTCTATGCCGTCGACCAACGTCTTCCCTACAACTACTACGGCACGTACGGTCAGTCTCAGGATGCCACGGTCGCTGCCCAGAGAGCAGGATTTGGTGTTTCTGGCGCCGAAGTGCAACCGCATGTTCCTACCACTCAGCCTCCTAGCCGCTACGGCCATGTTGAAGCTCCTAACAGTGGCCACACCACTCCTAACCCCACCCTTCCTGGCGCTACTCAGACCCCTACGGCTCAGCACATGCCTGGCCAGGGCGCTCACAGCTACGGCTACGGATACCCGTACTACTCCAACCCTCACTATGCTTCGTACATTGGCCAGATGAACCAGTACGGCAGGAACCGCCCGATGTACGATGATGCCCGGAGATATGATGACCACTACCTTCCTCACAGCACTCAATATGGTTACGGCAGCCAATATGGCCCGTACGGAAAGGCTGGAATGTATGGTCAGCCTCACGCCTTCTCTTATGACCACTCCTCGTCGCCCGCTACAGCGGCCACCTTCAACCAGGCCATTCCCGGTCGTGACTCGGTCTACGGCCGCACTGGATCCGCCCAGCCATCCGAGACTCAGCAGTCGGCAGCCGCCGGCTCCAATGCCTTCGCAACCGGCATGTCGGACGTCTTCGGTCGCACTCAAGGCGGCTTCGGACAGAACCAGCCGATCACCCAGCAGCCTCCGGTGACCACGGAGGAGACGAAGAGCTTCGATACCCCGAAGGCTGCGGGACCCAGCCCTTCTCTTGCCCAGGCTAACCGTCCCGGCTCCGCGACCAACAGCGCCGCTGGTCAGCCTCAGGCCCAAACCGGCCTTCCCCCGCTGCAGGGTCAGCAGGGCCAGCAGGGATTCGGTGGCTACCCTCACCTGAACCCTCAGTATGGCGGATTGGGTGCCCTGGGCGGCCACCAGGCTGCAGCCAGCCAGACCCACCACCAGCCCACTGGATACGGTAACTACGGCGGCGCAGGGTTTGCCAATTACTATGGTAACTCTGGACGCGGCGGCTGGGGAGGCAATTACGGTCACTAAAGGATTATGGCGTTGCATCTTTTCCGGGTGATGAGATTCCTATTGGCTCGTTTCTTTTTCTCTTTTACCTCGGGCGCGGCAAGCCCTGGATTGAAAACCTATCTCCTCTTATATTCACTTGTTAACACTTTTTCCCCTCTATGTCACTCTCAAGTGTGTAATCTTTACTCTCAATGAGAGCTTGGCTGGTTTTACATCTTTGGTTGATCTTTTCTGCAGGGTTGCGCTCATGATGTATTGAATGGAAAAAAACGTTATCGCTTTGTTTTTATTCTTACTTATGTTGCTTGTTCACGGTTTACGACATTTGCCAGTGTCTTCCTATTATATTCAGATGATTTTTTTTCTACGCCACCTTTATCTCCTTTGCTCTCCGGCTTTTGCCCCTTCTCGATTCGGTGTCTGATGAAAACCTTTCCATGGTCTCTCTTGCTCTCATCTACCTTGCATACTTTCCGCTTCCTGTACTACTTACTTTGGGTTCGGTTGGGACATCGTTCATGCAAATTGGCTGGATTAGGACAAGGGATGGGGGTTAAAGAATGCAAAGAATTGACTGGGACGGCGTTGGACCTTGCTTTTTCTTCCGGTGTACAAAAAGTAACTCACTATAGAGACGGTGACGAGGGAAAAGACACAATGGGGTAGCGTGTGCGTTCCGAGCCTGAATCCGGGTCTTTCCCGACACCGTAACCACGACCGTAGCTGTTGACTTGGCTTGTGCTGGGGCAGATGTAGTCTTCAGCTGACAAGTCCGATTCTTGACGGTGATTCCTTCGGATCTTGCCTACATAGCAACGACCCATTCTCACACAGGCTAGTGAAGTAGTACGCGCCTACATGATATATAAGGAGGGCCTCGATGGCCTGGTACTGCAGAGGTATCTAATGGTTTTTCTCCATCGACTTTATCAACTTACACATGTCATACGAATGTTAAATTCCACTGCTACTATCAAATTAGATGTGCTGGGGGAAAGGTCAATTGTATTCATGCCCAGTAGGAAGAGGATGAAAGGATTATAAAGTGAATCTAGTTCATATCTCTTTCCTTCACCGTCTATGCTGAGTGTTGATGGGGAAAATCTCTCTGAAATCAAACCAAATGGATACCACCTATATTGAAGCTGCTATGGCAAACCTGCTAATATACTCGATCATGTAGTCACTTGTAGATGAACTGCTGACTGGGAAGTCGGTTAATACAGTAGTAGGTCTAGAACTCTAGCAATGCCCTAAAGGTGCAGTAACTAGGCGTACGCACACACATACATACAAGGTGGCTCTCATTCTATTGCCTAGTTCGATCATGTCCATTGAAGTCCGGTAAGTTCCTTCATCGCAGCCTACTATCGGGTTGCCCGGGTGTCAACTGGTATTATTCCCGGGAGTTGCCTCGTTGCACATATCCAGTGCCACGGAATCTCCCACTCGCATGCTAGTACACAAGCTGAACATGCCGCTTTCCCTACTGCCCAAGTGGCTATATATTGAATGCCCCTTCCATTTACCTTCCCACCAACTCAACTGTACACCAGGCGTAGGCCGTGACAGCAGCACCACTTCCCCTGGAGGAAGACCTTCACCTCATTCCCTTCACTTCACTTCCAACACTTTACCCCCATCACTTTTCCCTGTTCCCTTGTCCCCATTCACTTCCTGCCTCTCGCTTCCCTTGGACTCGCACTTTCTCCATTCCTCCTCCGCCTTCCCTCCTTTATAATCCCTCTCCTCCCTCCTCCCAGATTCCAGCTCTCTTCTTTCCTCAACCTCGCCTACTCATCGCTCTTTTACCCATCCATCTGTCTACGCCCATCTTTCCTTAGGCGGTTACGCCCATATGCGACACTGCCCATACGCAACAAAGCCCATACGCAGCACCGCCTAAGGCTGCCCACTGTAGATCCCCCTACCTGGCTTCAGCCATCATCCAGAGACACCCTGTTGGAGACTTCCTCCAGTCAGGTAAGTTTGAAATCTGTTTTCAAAGCTACTCGTCTCTGAACCTGCTCGATGATGATTCCTTTCCAGGGTCTTGCGTGTCTGGTCTTCTGAGGGCAGGTTACTTTTCTTCTTCTATAACCCCTCTGCTTATCAACCCTTTTCTTTCTCACCCACACGGTGCCTGTTCTGAGCCGAGGTTTGTTGTCAATCGGGTTCTGCTGGGCAGCTGTCGGAGGTCTATGCTTAGGCCTTCAGAGCTTTCTAAGCTTGAGAGACGTTCAGTAAGAGCTATCGTGGGGTTCACATCTACTTCTCGGAGTCTTGAGGAGGTTCAATATCTTCCGCCTCTATGACGGTGATCACCTGAGAGGCATCTTCCCGGAACATTGGGCCACTTGTGGCTATCTCAACTCTCCACTCCTGGGAGTTTTTGTGAACCGCAAGATTTTCGGCTATGATGAAGATACATCCACGCTAGATGAGCACGGGTTATTACATGCCACTGTTCGGGTCAGCCTAGATTCGTCTCAGGTTGAGATTTCCCCGTCAGTTACCACGCCTCGAATGATGATATTGATAGGACACCCTGTTGGGGTCCTTCTGAGGGGCATTCCCGTACCTCGTTACCCTTTTGCTTCTTATTTGCACCTTATCTCGCCTTTACCCAGTCTTCCTTTTCCTGGATATTTCCATTTTTCCTGCACCTGGAGAGGCAATGCTGCTATCGATCCAGGCCCCAATGATTCGACGGAAGAATTGCGGGAGGCTAGAAACAAGGGTGGACGCGGCTGCAATCACATAACAAATACACTTGGGTGGCCTTCATCGGTCCTACTTGAAGCACTGAATGGGCCATGCTCCTGAACAAGGTAGACTTCCATGATCGTTGTGCTTATTCAGTCGTTTCTAATCTGGCTTCCGTAACCTAGGTCTTGTCGAAATTTCTGTTAGAGCCTGTCGAAGATTATCGATGAGTTGGTTATTTTAAAGGGCGTCGTGAATGGAATTGGAGGATGGTGAATAGTCTATGTTGGACATGTTGTTTGGTCACTTTTGTTCGGTTCCTTGGTGTCTGCGAGATCATCGTCTGGGATCTCTTCCACTGAGCTAATGTTGCGCTATTGCATATGTGGTTTCCTTTCTTGTACCTAAATCTGAGTCACTCTTGGGTGTGCCGGGCTACTTCTCCTTTCCAATACCAATCTTCTACCAGTGACGAAGTATACCCGCAGACCTTGTAATGGGGCAATGGCGCCTTCCTAAAATGACCAAATGCTCTTGACAATGCACCAAGCTCCTCCTTGTATACAAAACACATTGCCGCTATAATCAGCATATGATCATAAAAGCTACTCTCCTTCTCGCGGCAGGGTGCGATGTGAGCATCCTGGCACAAGGTGCTATGATACCACTTTAAGGTGACCATGGATGTCAGTTAGTTCTACGTTTCCTCGCTGACTGTTTGGGGACTCGTTCGGTTGGCCCAGGGAGGTGCCGAAAGGAAAGTGGCTATGTACCCTCTCTAGGATATATACATCGATCCAGCACGCCAACCCAAGACACGCGCGCCCTCATAGCGGATATGTAGAAAAAGAATACAAGCAATCAACTAATAAGACGGCTCTCAACGGAGGGGACCCATCATAGATCAAGTTCCACAAATACTATCCGGTAAAATGTCATTGTAGACAACCCTTCCTTCCACTCATCCTACATTTACCACTTCCCAGCGGCACACAGCCTAATCAAGGTGATAAAGCCTTATTTATCAAACTAAGCGGCAATTTGCAAACAAATCAAGGTGCTGTAGTGTAGTGGTCATCATGAAACGTTGTGGTTTTCCCGCAGCGCCGTTTCGACCTGGGTTCGATTCCCAGCAGCGCCAAAAATTGGCGTGTGTGCTTGATTTGAATTGACTTTTTTATTTTTGGTTTTCTAACCATCTATCTCTCTCTCTCTCTGCATGGAATTTTTAATATCTTCTATAATCAATTATATTTTCAAATATTTTTGTCCCTATTTATTTATTTCCAGATTTTTCTTTTCGGGGAATGACGAATGAATGAATACTAAAAGTACATGATCTTGGTGAACATCCTGCTTCCCTCGTTCGTAGAATGTCTGCTGGCGAGAGAAGTCTGTTCATTGTCAACTGGGATTGTGCAGGGTAAATATCTAGGTAGCATACAACTGATATCTCTGGATTTCTCTCCCAAGGTGCTTGGGGTCGCTAGATAGATGTAGAAATGAGGCAGAGAATATTTACCGTCTTGAAGGGAAAGAATATCACGTCCGAGTCACTAGAGCAAATGGTATGAGAATAGTTTTTATAAAAGCCTTCAAAACTTCTTACCGCCCCACGAAAGCTCCCCAATAATTGGATCATTATATGCTTAATTCCCCAGTCGCAGGGGGATTATGACATTCCACCTAACCGACCAGGTTCACTCAAGCTCCGGTTCGGCCACTCCAACCACTCAGCCCAGCTCGGGCCTAGATGCCTGCTGATGGACTCGATAAGAAAGCGACCACCATCGCCAAACAGCCACAAATGCCGATGCCAGTGTATAATAACGGCGTAATGAGCTAAAATTACCAGAGCTTCGGGCCGCTGCATTGCCAAGTGTTCGGCATATTCAGGGCTGACTATGACAGGCCAGCCCGTAACACCCCCGATATTTTTCAGCGAGGCCTTGAGAGCTGCATTCATAGACATCTGCAGCGCTTGTATCGCACCCCGATAGGTGGAAGTGATAGAGTCGCCCAGCCTAGCCCCTTCAACGAGCCTCAAGAGTCCTGCGCACTCGGGTCCAAGTTTAGTATCCCATTCGAACAAGATTGCTCCGTCTTGAAGCGGTTTCCTGAGGATTGACTCTCGTAGTGATTGCCATGTAGTTGAAGATATCACGACGCGAATACCAATTTGGAGTTTGAGACAACGCACGAATCGCTCTATAAATGTATCGAAACTCGTCTCTTCGCGGTGAACCAAGACGTCACACAGAGTGTGCATGCCGAGAATGCAGGAGAAAAGAAATAGTGGGACATTGCTCTCCTGGTTCAGCTCGAGTCTCCTTTGATTGTAAATTTCCAATGCATGCGTTTGTAGATGGGCTGCATGGCGCCGATACCACTCTCCGTTTTCTGGACGAACTATACTCAAGTGTAAAGCACTCATTGCAAGCATTTGATTGATGAGATAGGGCGTTGAGACGACCATTCGCATCACTTCTGGAGCACCAAGCCAAGCGGTCTCCCCTTCGCTGAGACTGCTGAGGGTGTAGTTCACCAAGTTGAAGAACAATTCAGCGTGAAGCATATTGACGGGGGGACTGTCAGAAAGAGAAGATGGCTGTGCAGGCGACCGCAAGGGTATTTCGTTCGTCACCAGGCCAGCAGGTGACGGGGTTGATGACTTGCTTGACCGCGAATGGGCCGCCCGTATGAACGGATCCGCGTATTCGCAGGAGCGTTCCGAAGACCGACAGTTGGAGCATATCGGTTGTTTCTCGTCGCACTGCACATTGTCAGAGGTTAATGTTACATGTGTACCTGACAATCCCATCAAACTTACTTTTATGTGGCGCCGCTTACATTCTAAGCACCCATTGCGCGACTTCTTATGTGTCCTACGCGGCATCCTTACGAAAACTTGGTCGATTACTGAGAGCGCATCTTCCGGTGCACATGCGCCTAATGTGGCGATGGTGGTGAGTAGTATTGATCCTGCCTGGCGTGCCTCGTGGTCAAGGATCTCCGCCCATGGCTCCAAATTTGGCGATAAGCTTAAAGTGTGCCCAAGCAACAGTCACAACGGGCCCGTAAAAGATTTAGGGTTGCTATTTTCAGAGTTTGGGATGCAGCAGAGATTGGGGCTTTGAAGAGGCAAAAGCAAGCAAAGCCAGCATTGGAGGTTCATAAATCCGCGTATGCACAGACCACTTCGCCTGCCACTAAACCATATCGGGTAGTATCGCCAGGCACGGATCGAGTCCGATACCTTCGAGAAGGGCTGAGTTCTATACGCGTATCCAGATTCTGCGACCCTATCAAGAAGAGATTGTCTTTTTTCTGAGGTCTAGCCACGTGAAATATGGCATCTAAGAGACATATAAGACCAAGATGGATGCAGGATTCAGGTCCTATCTCGCAACAATTTTACCTCCATAACTGGATAACTCGATAAAGGTCCCCGAGCGAAGAGACAAACTATATCTGTCCATCATGGCCAAGCTGGAGCCCTATGTGCCGGGCTACTACCTGTGGAGCTACATGCCCTCCATTGCGGCAGCGGCTATCTTTCTAGTCCTCTTTCTGGGGGCTACCGGAATCCACTTCTTCAAGCTATTCCGATCCCGAGCTTGGTTCAACATCCCCTTAGCCATTGGCGGCATCTGTATGTGTTCCTTGATACGATATATACACCCCGCAAAAGAAAGCCTTATCAACTAATACAGAGCACAGTTGAGTTCATCGGATTCTTCGCAAGAATAATCTCGCACTTCCATACAGCGGAGCTCGGGCCTTACTCTATGCAGAGCGTGCTCATCCTCCTCGCTCCAGTTCTCTTCGCCGCATCTGTATACATGACGCTAGGTCGGATCATTCGGAGCGTCGACGCAGAGCAATACTCTATAATCCGTCTTCGCTGGCTGACGAGGGTCTTCGTCACGAGCGATATTCTTGCCTTCCTCATTCAAGGCAACGGAGCGGGCTTGCAGGCGGTGGAGTCCATGCAGACCTTATCCAAAGTTATTGTTATCGTTGGCCTTATCTTCCAAGTGGGAATGTTCGTTTTCTTCATCATTGTCTCGGTTGTATTCCACAAGCGTATGCAAAAGCGTCCGACATCCGGAGCACAGTCACCGTGGAAGTATCACATGCATACGCTCTTCGCGGTCAGTGGTCTCATCCTGGTTCGGTCAATCTACCGTGTTGTTGAGTATGTGATGGGGTATGGCGGCTACCTCCTGACGCATGAGTGGCCACTCTATGTCTTCGACTGTGTGTTGATGTGGCTCGTTATGGTAATTTGGGCTGCGAGGTATCCTGGTGATATCCAGACAGGGAAGCCTGAGATGGAGCTCCTTGCGACACGGAGCAATGATGATACAACTGTATGAGTTTTATTAGACTTTTCTTTGTACATAGATTGTTATGTGTTTTCAAATTTCTTCTGTTATTGGGTACAAGCCAGTAATACATTGTGAGTTAAGACCGTGACGAATATGCTCGAAATCTGCATTATCCTCAGCAGAAGTACTAATTCAGCAACCGAGCATACTTTGCAGGACCTCATAGCTGAAAGACGCATGAGGGGCATGAATAGAATTGAAGAGCACCGACAAGTGGCTAGTGGATCCAATGTGTAAAACCTATCATACACACAAAAGGTAAAATAAACGAAGCTGACAGATGACTGCCCCAGCTACGGATAACCAACCCACAAGCCAGAAAAGAGAGAACATCTTCCCACCCACAGAGACATTGTGATCCCGTCTGAAGGTTCTCGACCCCTGCATTGACCAAAGAGTATTTGGAAGCAGCAATTACTGTATATAGAACAGTCTACATCTCCCCCACAAGAGCCCCATAGATCCTAAACTTGGCACTAGCAAAAGCACATTCACTGATGTCCATTCAGCTCTTCTTTGCTAACTGCTTACTGATTAGTCCAATGAGGGAAGTTACGATCTGCATTCCTGACATCCAGTCTTGACCGGTTGGTAGTGACTATCAGACGTCCAAGACCGCTTAGTTGTATCGAATTTTCCCAAATATTGGGTGCCTCGGAGTTAATCCTATTTTTATTATCCAACACGGCAGAACGCGTGAAGGGAAACATTCATAACCTATGGAGTTTGTGTCTGATTGAGTGACAGACAAAATCGAGTGACTTCCTGGCATCAACGATCGCCATGACAGGCCCTGTGCAGAATTGACATCGACTGACGTCTCTCAAAATGTGGTAGCTTTCAACGGATCAAGATCCAAATAACAACAAGGTTGGATGCATGGCCTGTGCAGGAACCCAGGTTCTTCTGTTCTCAGTAGTGCTGACGACGATGACGATGGATCAGGACCCGCTGCCAGGGCCAGGGGTGTTCATCGCATCCCAAATGTTGGGTTTCTCTGATAGAGGTAATTTCAATAAGGTTTGATGGTCAGACAATGACTGATTCATGAAGCGAGTGGCGTAACGGACCGAAGGCTGATCCGAGGTAGACAGCCCGAGACTATTGAATCTAGTATTGCCCCGTTGGAGATCAAAACGGGGAGAAACCCTAGTCAGCGATAATGCGGGCTCAAATTACCATGGGTTATTAAACAAATTCTCATTACTCCGTTGCGCGAACTGCATCTTTCCAATGTTGCTGGGATTCGCTGATTACCCAGCCGTCGTTACTGTTCTATATACAGGTGCCGAAACATCTCCACCAAAGCCAAATAATAGATCCTGTTATGAAAGCAAACGTACTCTATAGTGGCACTTGTTCATGCCATGTTCGCCAGATCACTCGTCCACCCGGACTATAAAAGAGGTTGATTAAACGCAACGTGTATATCTGCCGACCGTCGACTCGTTTCATGCAGTAATGCCCAGACCCTCGCCGCCGGTCTTGTGGTAAGGGGGCTTGGCGTCCGCAGCGCTGGTAGGGTCGAACCGCCAGACACCCCCGGTCTTGTCGCTCTCCAAGGACGTAACGCCGATCATTCTCGCAAGTCGCCAGAATTCCTCATCGTCGGTGTCGTTGACACGCTTGAAGAAGCGTCGGTCCCACTCGCGGCCTTCCGACTTCTCGACCTTGCGAAGCTCGCGCTGGGCGTTCTCGATCTTCGACTTGGCCACGGACACGGCATCCATATCGCCCCGCTCGATGCCTGCCGCAACGTCGCGCCATGCCCGCCGGCTCTCATAGAGGTCTTGCTGGTCGACGGGCGCCAGAGTCAACGGGGTGGTCTTCGTGTCCTTGACGGAGAATCTATCCACCTCATGCTTGCGGGAGTCTTTGATGACGAAGGAATCCGACCATTGTCCGTCAACAGTGTACAGAGGTTTCTTCTCGCCCTCGTTTTCCTTGAAAAGGATGGCGCTGAAGGTGTTCTTCTTGCCACTCAGCCAGCCCTTGCCGGAGTAGTCAATCTTCGCCACGTAGCCAGTGCTGCTGGCAATGCGAGTGGACTTCTCCAATTCGACAAAGGGCGTTCCGTAGATAAGGGATTCAATGTGCAAGTGCGGGAGGGTGATCAGGTACCGCTCCTGCTGAGAAGGATCGTTCTTATCCGCACCCGGAGGAGTGAGGGTCAACAGGGCATGTCCGATCTGTTTGATTTGAATGGTGCTGGAGAAGGATGCCTTCTGGGCATTGTATCCTTGGAGCTACGATGTGAAATTCATAATCAGAGCCACGTCGTACATCGAATCTTGGATAGCTACATACCTCGACGCCGTGCTTCTCGTTTCGGATAGCATAAGCAGTAGCAGGGGGATGGTGGCTGAAGCGGTCAATACGATCCAGATGCAGAGTGGGTACAATAGTACCACCTACCTGACTTGCTCACTGATCAAGGTGGTCTCGCCCACATCCGCATCGGCATCCCATTTGCCAAGGAACAACTCTCCCAGGAAAGGGTTCAAGGGCTTCTTTTCGCTACCGAGCTTCTCACTGCGACTGCAGTACTGCTGGTGGAGAGTGCTGAGGAACCACTTCAAGACGGCCAGAGCTCTCTTCTCTGGATCCGCTTCTTTTGCGGCAGCCACAAAAAGGCCTGGGTGTTCGGCCCAGTAGGCAGAATATTCGGTCAAGGAGGTGGACGAGAGAATAAAGGGCGGGGCGGTCAAGGAAGAAAGGTCTCCGTTGAAGGAGGCGATAGACTGAAGGAAGGAACCAGATCGGTTAGCCAAGTTCCGTAAAGCAATACGAGATCAGACAGTCTAGGATGTGGGACCAATTGCCTAGAAGAAAATCGGTCGTTCAAACTTCATACCTTAAGGAAACTTGTCCAGGAACCTTTGCTGTGGGCGGGAACGCCGGACGCTGAATCCTTGCTGGAACTCATTTTGCAGATGTAAAGACAATAGCTCGACTACTGATTTGGTACAAAACCGCAGGACTGGCTAAGAATAAGCCCTGGGAGGACGGTAGAGAAAGAATGAAGCGGGGAAGAGAGAAGGAAGAGGGGAGAGAGGCACAGGAGGGAGACAAGATGAATATGTCATGGGGAGGGGAGAGTGGAAGAGGAAAGCGGCCGGAGGGCGATCGGGTCACCCACCAAACCGAATTCAAGCCACCCGCGCAGGGGGTCAGCTCTTTCGACGTCATGGGTGGCTGAGCTAAGCTCTGCGGATGTTCTTGTCCTGCTTGCTTTCCCATGGATAGGGATGACTTCCAAAGTCAAGGGATAATACAACACAATGGACTGAGTTTCTGGATGCCAGCACTCATTCTATCACCGTATTCTTTGGGTGGCTTTTCATGTTCTCGACTCGCGTGCCACTTGCGTCTTAGCTTCGTGGCGGAGATTATATTAAGCCAGCCACTCCGTTAATCCTGGTGTGCCTACTACGCAGTGGAGAATAACTGAATATTAAGATGTAATAACGGGCGGGCAAAGAAAAAGAAAATAAGGGAAGAGGAGGGGGCAAAAAGCAATTATAACAAGATGTGCAAAAATAGACCGCAAAATGAATCCGTGACTGTTGTGCCTACAATAATCCTCTACTCTCCACCATTACCCTTGATCTCGTGATAGCTTATCAGTTGACTTGGCGACCGAACTGTGGCTTGAAGTTCCCCAACAGCAAAATTCACTTTGTACTGATTACTAGATCTAACCCTGGCATATCAAATTGATCGCTGGGCTTGTATAGTTGAATTCTAGATACGACTCTCTGCCTTTACTCTGCCATACCGGGCGCCGTATGTTATCTATCTGTCGCTCAACTTGATTGCAACTCCATCGATTATCATGCTCAGCATGACCATTGGGTCAAGGTTGCCTGAGTGGATTGGGACTGACTGCAAGCTTCTAACACAGTGGTCCCAAGGGTAGCCTCCACCACCGACCGGATGAGTGGAAGTGAAAGGCTTTCCCGGGGTTGAAGCTTGACGAAAGCGGAAGGTTGACCTCCTCATTGTTGAAACCTTGGGATGTTACTGTGGGGGGTCCGCCTTCTCGGTCAACCACCTTCATACGGAATGAGACCGGGCTTCGAAGGCCTCGATTTCTGCCACCTGTATAGGTGGACACCCACGCACATCCTCATGTTGATGGATCTTGTGCCTTTCCCCTGAGGCCTTCGATCAGATCAACACCGTCATTCGAAGTCATCGATCGTTAGCAGCTGATCAAGTAGCCCTACAAGCAAGAGACTGTCAATGATTGCCAAGTAGTACGAAACCAAGTTATATTGAAGTGGGCGCGATCGACCAGGCAGGAAGCACGAACTTGTCTCTCAGTTCTCCTGAGTCGTGTGAAGTCCCCAGTCTCCACTGTGGCCCTAGTATCTGGGCCGATTACTGGGTGTTCGACACGAGAGCTGCCGTACCCCGGACGCTTTTGAGTTTTTGCAAGATTGCTGAAATAACTTCTGCCATCTGGAAATCTCTGTGCAACGAAATTATGGACTCGGTCATTTTTAACATGCTATTGAACTTGGCTGCTGATTCAAAATGGTTTACACGCCGTTGGTTGTGCAGGAAATCGTTCCTGGCGCCCCTGTGCAGATCGGGTTCCCACCTCCGCGGAAAGCTAAGGTTCCCGGCTTTTGCCCCAAGCTTATAACTAGTTTCTCAAGCGTGCTCGGCGTCAAAAAGGCCATGAGCATCAATGGTCTAGCGGCTACCAAAGTTTGATCTGAGCTAAACTTGTATGTGGATATTGCAGAAGGCTCTGCTCTTACTTCTCTGGGCGATTAAGTGTTTTTAGGGGCTGTTAGTCTGACAGTCTCGCCCTCTCACCGACGATAATTGCGCTGAAAAATGGAGTCGTGATACTCCACGTGTAGTCGAGACTCTCTGCCTTTTGCTGGCCAGGTTTCTTAAATCTGCTGGTGGCTCCATGGTACTAAAGCATTTTTTTGGATGCTTAACCACTCATTGCTGTACAGTATCTAGGTGTCTGGGTGCTATGGAGGAGCCCCGTCCACTCATTTGATTTTGATCCATCACAAGTTCATCTAGATACACTCTTTCTTTATCATCAATCGACCTTTTCCTTGCATAATGTACTTCATGACTTTATACATTCGCTCTGAAAACCAAGCAGAATCATCTCAACAGTAACGGAAGCCTTTTCCCCGTGTCTGGTGCGACACAAGTCATTAAAAAGTGACTTTGAACAGCGTCAACGACCAAGCAACATGTTCGACCAAAAGTTCTTGAACTCATCCTCGACACTCGTCGTCCCTAATGGGCGTCAGAGCTCCAGACACGAGCATCGACCGCCTCTCAACTCAACCATTACACTCATTCAAGCCACCACTCACGACTCAGACCGTACTTTGCCTCATGAAAGCATCCCCGAAGAAGTCCATGACGATCAGTACAACCGGTTCTCGCCTACTCGAAAAATCACTGTCGTTATCCTCCTTTCATATTCTGCTATCCTTGGACCCATATCCTCCACTGCCATCTTAGCCTCTGTCCCCGAGATTGCCAGAACATTCGAAACAGACGCAGATATTATCACTGCCAGCAACGCTCTTTACCTAGCTTCCATGGGGATCGCTGCCCTCCTCTGGGGTCCTTTGAGTCAAATCTCGGGCCGCCGTCCGGTGAGTGACATCCGTGCATTCATACTGTTCCTCTAAACCCTAATAGCTGCTCTCTTAGATCCTCATCGCTAGTTCAATACTATTCTTTCTTTTTACTGTGGCCACAGCGCTATCCCCCAATCTAGAAGCCTACTTTATCTTTCGCATATGTGCCGCGTTTCAGGGAACTGCATTTCTAGTGCTTGGAAGTGCTACCGTGGGCGATATCTATGAGCCAATGTCTCGTGCCTTACCATTGGGATGGGTATTGTCAGGTAGTGTGACCGGGCCTGCCCTTGGTCCCTTTCTAGGTGTATGCCTCATCCTCGACGTATGATTTACCTATCTGTGCTCAGCTGACACCTTCTAATAGGGAGTCGTGGCTACCTTCCGCCCATGGAGATGCATTTTCTGGCTGCTTGCTGCATTAAACGGCTTCGCAGCAGTCCTCATCTTGCTATTCTTTCCGGAGACCATCAGTCACAAATTAAACACCCATTTCAAAGGGAAGAGTCTGCCTCAGCAAACCAAGCAACTATGGAGTCACATCTCCCCCCTTCGCATTGCGCGCTTGGTCTTTTCTTACCCGAACATTTTCCTCACTAGCCTTACTGCCGGCGCCTTAGTGTGGAATCAATACGCCCTTCTCACCCCCATTCGCTACGTCCTCAACCCTCGCTTCCACCTTGAAAGCCCCATTGAAGCCGGCCTCTTCTACCTCGGCCCCGGTGGTGGCTACATATTTGGCACCTTTTTTGGTGGCCGTTGGGCCGATCTTGTGGCTCGGAAATACATCCGTATCCGCAACGGACGACGCATACCAGAAGACCGTCTCCGCTCTTGCGTCTCCTTCATTCTCTTTGCTATTCCGGCATGCATCCTTGTTTATGGTTGGACAGTTGACAAAGAAGTCGGAGGAATACCAGTCCCCGTTGTCGCTATGTTTATTCAAGGGGTGGCCACGATGTTCTGCTTCCCCAGTTTGAATACTTACGGACTGGATGTTATGCAGGAGAGTGGTAGAAGTGAGGAGGTTGTCGCGGCGAACTTCGTTTGCCGGTATATGTTTGCTGCCCTCGGGTCGGGTGTCGTTCTACCTGCTCTTGAGGCAATGGGCGTGGGGTGGTTCAGTACCATCTCGGCGCTGTTGCTGGTAGCTGTAGGTGGTGGCTTATATCTGACCGCGGAGTATGGTCCTCGATGGAGGGAAGCGGTTGATGCAAAGCTTCAGGCTAAGAAGGAAGAAAAGTGGAAAAGGAAGAGCGCCTCGCATGTTTAAATCTTCAGCAACCCATCTGGGTCGCCACGTCATAAGCATAATACCCAACTGCATTGATGATTGATCTCGGCCGTGTCGCGACCGATATGACAGTTCTTGGTGGCTTCTTATCATTCTAATGTAAATATCACAGATTTTAGCATATTGAATTAATGACTAGGCTACCTCATATAACATATTTTCGACGGCCACGGTTATTTACTGACTTGTCCTCTCTTTTCTGATAGCTACAAGAGGATAATTGTTCAACAGTGGTTGATGATTCGAATTTGGCCCCAGAGGAGCCTCGGTCATGAATGTTTAGGGGACGGCTTGCGGGGGTACGGAAATAAATCGCGAGGCTGCACAACTCAATCTGTTTTTACTCCGCCGGCACTGATCGTCTCTCGCCCCTCTTTTCGCAACTATTATTCTCTCGTTCCAACCCCAACCCTTATGTTCTACCTGGCTCCTATTGTCTTGCTTCTTGATGTATTGCGGCCTCTCACTCCATTCTAACTTGATGGTCCACCTTCGTTTGCCGAGATCTAAATTTAGTCGACTCCACCGGTTCTTATCGATAAACCAAACGCGTGTACCCCATCGGCTCTGCCCCTCCTACGGCGCCACAGCTTCGTAACAATTTATCTTGATCATCCATTCCACTAAGGAGTAATCTCACAATGCCTATGACTGGCCTGCAGAAGCAAATTGGTCAGGTATGATATCACCCGGCCTTGTGTTATCATCAAGAAACATCCGACTGAACTATGGCGGAGTTTAGCTCTTTGCGGTCGGTTTCCACGGCCTTACTCCGAGCCCAGAAATAAAGACTCTGATCCACGATTATGGTATTGGAGCTATCGTACTCTTCAAACGAAATGTTAGCGATGCAGCTCAACTCCAGGTAGGTGACCCCCTCTGTGACCATTCATGGCTATCCGCAGTATGCCCGCGCCCAGATTCAGTGACTGATATTACAATTCCAATAAAAGGCTTTGACGCATGCTCTCCAAGAAGAAGCACGGTCAGCAGGACACGAGCACCCCCTGCTTATAGGAATTGATCAGGAAAATGGCCTTGTCACCAGGGTATCGCCTCCAGTTGCTCCACAACTGCCGGGCCCTATGGCTCTCGGCGCCACCAATTCCCCCAAGCTCGCACATCAGGTCGGAGCTGCAACTGGTGAGATACTGAGCGCCGCGGGGATTAACATGAACTATGCGCCCGTTTGTGACATCAATTCCGAGCCGCTCAACCCCGTAATCGGGGTTCGTAGCTTTGGAGATAAGCCCGAGTTTGTGGCCCGATTCGCCAGCGCCAGCGCCCAAGGTCTTCGGGAGCACAAGGTCGTACCTACTGTAAAGCACTTCCCGGGACACGGTGATACCGCAGTCGATTCACACTATGGACTACCTGTCATTCCAAAGACACGAGAGCAACTGGAAAGTTGCGAGTTGGTTCCCTTCCGTCAGGCAGCCAATGAAGGTATCGAGGCCATCATGACAGCCCATATCTCCCTACCTGGCATAGGTGATGGCAAATTGCCCGCCACCTTGTCGCCAGATGTGATGAGGATTCTTCGTGAAGACATGGGTTACGGCGGTATGGTTATTACGGACTGTCTCGAGATGGATGGAATTCGTGCTACGTACGGGACAGAGCAAGGCGCTGTTCTTGCTCTGGCTGCTGGCTGCGACAGCATCATGATATGCCATACATATTCTGTCCAAGTTGCTTCGATTATTCAGGTCTGCCAGGCTGCTGAGTCCGGAAAGATTCCCTCCGCGCGACTGCATGAGGCTATCCGTCGTGTTAAGGAGCTGAAAAGCAACTTCCTGAGTTGGGAGACGGCGCTGCGCCCTCTGGAATCGAGGGAAAACTGGCCTGCTCTGGGAACAGACGCAGTGAAACATTCTGCGCTGGCGAAGCAAGCCTATGCTCAGTCTGTGACGCTTGTTCGAGATACCTCACAAATTCTCCCTGTGTCCAGGTCTGCTAACGTCGTATTCCTCTTTCCTGGGGACCAGACCCCAGCTGGAGGTGCAGTGGACGGAGAAGGGCTGGGAAGGAAGGGCTCTTACAACGCCTCCGTTTATCTCAATATACTGAAGCAATACAACCCAACCGTGGTTGAGATTCGATATGGGGCAGCGGGATTATCGACTGAACTGATGAGTGCCATTGAAGCTGCCGATGTCGTTATCTTCACTTCTATCAATGCGCGGGAATCGCCGTTTCAGCGGACCTTAGGATTGGAGCTGCCTAGCCGGACCCGTAAGCTGGTCAGCATCGCCGCCTGCAACCCCTACGACTTCCTGGAAGATGCGTCCGTTGGAACATATATTGCCACCTATGAGCCTACGCCCGAAGCATTTGCGGCGGCTGCTGAGGTGATATTCGGGAATTCGGCGCCTAGGGGCCTCTTGCCAGTTGAAAATCCTACCAGTCAACTGTCTGTTGAGGAATCAGCATTGGGTAACACTAGAGACATCTTGCAACTGAGTGCTATTTGGAATGCTGCGTTGCCTACCTACCCACTTTCCGCTCAGAAGTTGCAACTACTTGTTAACCAGGAGCATGGGCATCATTTCGTTGCTCGCATTGGTGCTGATATTGTAGGATTTGCCTTGACATACACCAGCAATACATCTACAGGTGTTGCTGGCAATATTGCTGTGCTCGCAGTTGATCCCGCAAAACAAGGCCAGGGACTTGGAACAGCATTGATCTCAAAAATCACTGCATGGTATGAAGCCAACTTGAAACTCCCACGCCTCGAATTGAGCAGCTCGTTCCCAAGGTTCTTTCCTGGAGTACCCGATGATTTGCCGTCGTCGGTACAGGAGTTTTTCCAGAAGCGTGGCTTCTCACTATGGGATACAAACCCACGAAATGTGGACCTGTACCGTGATATCCGCGACTTCAAGGCCCCTGACGCGTATATTACTCGGGCGGCAGATCAGGGATATACTTTTGGTCCTCTCCAGCCCGAGCATTACGAAGAATGCCTGGCTGGACAGAGGAAGAACTTCTCTGCAAATGCGGTAAGCATGATCCCATCTTCAATACATAAGCTGTCCTGATATTATCATCGTGCACATTTATTGGCTGTTTCTCCTCGATATAACTAACAACAAATAGGCCTGGGTGCGTCAATATGAAGAGCTCCACCCTACCAAGTATCCATTCAGTGTAATGGCAGCCTTCGACTCCCAGGGAAAGCAGGCCGCCTGGACGCTGATGCTTGGTCCTGACTCGCCGGCTCTACAGAGAAACTGGGCGCTTCCACCTGTGTGTGGGCCCAAAACCGGCCTCATCGGATGTGTAGGTGTTGATGTGGATCATAGAAAGAAGGGACTTGGGCTGGCACTACTGAGTCACGCGATGGAGGACATGAAGCGGAGAGGCGTGGAGGGAGTATTTGTGGATGGGGTGGTTCTGGAAGGGTTCTACGAGCAGCTCGGCTTCACAGTCTGGCGCGAGTATCGACGAGCAACTCTTCATATGTAGATTACCGACATTATATCCATAGGAAACCGCCACTAGGATGCATATAGCTTTTATAATTGGACTAGACCTAGGCTGACAATCCCCGCCTGTTGACTGGCCGAGGCCTGCATCTCGGAGTCCCCCTTCCGAGAGAACCTCGGGTAAGGTTCCCCGCCTCGGGCCTCTCGAAAGGAATATTGGCAATGTTCCGAGATGACCATCTACACTCAACCAAAACACCTTCCAATCTCGAGTATTTGACACCTAATCATGTATCGCTTAAGCCGAACATTCCATCGAAAAAGTCCACTACCAAAGGCTTCCCAAACGCCGCCGTTTCTCAAACGACACCGCCCATTATCCACTCTTCCCCGGCACTCATCTCCGGGACCATCTGTATCTGAAGCCCCGCTATTCGACCACTACTACGAGTGAGTAACCAGCCCAGTTACCCCTCTCCCCATTCCATACCTCACCAACTAACCACCATGATAAAATCACAGTGCCATAGTAATAGGCGCCGGCGGCGCCGGCCTCCGCGCCGCAGTCGGTCTGACCGAGTCAGGATTCCGCACCGCATGCATTACCAAACTGGTAGCATACCTACCCCCTCCTTCCAACAAAACCCCCAAGAAAACAAACTAAAATAAAAACCAAGTAATAACAATGAAATTTCTGGAAAATAGTTCCCCACCCGCTCCCACACCGTCGCAGCGCAAGGCGGCATCAACGCGGCGCTAGGCAACATGACTCAAGACGACTACCGCTGGCACATGTACGACACGGTCAAAGGCTCAGACTGGCTCGGAGACCAAGATGCAATTCACTATATGACGCGGGAAGCACCGAAGGCTATCTACGAGCTGGAGAACTACGGCATGGCGTTTTCCAGAACCGAAGACGGACGTATATATCAGCGGGCTCTGGGGGGACAGAGTCTGGATTATGGGAAGGGGGGACAGGCGTATAGGACTGCTTGTGCGGCGGATAGGACGGGTCATGCTATGTTGCATGCTTTGTATGGGGAAGCGTTGAAGGTAATATTATTACCATATTCTTATTTTACTGTAGAAAGGATGGAAGTTTGAAGACTGACCGATGGATGTGTTATACTTCAGCACGATACCCAATTCTTCGTCGAATTCTTCGCTCTCGATCTTTTAATGGTCGACGGCGCCTGCGTGGGCGTCATCTGTCTCTCTCTCGAAGACGGCACGCTGCATCGCTTCTTCGCGCGAAACACTGTCCTCGCGACGGGCGGTTACGGCCGGGCTTACTTCTCCTGCACTTCCGCACATACTTCCACGGGGAATGGCAATGCCATGGTTGCTCGCGCGGGACTCCCTAACCAGGATATGGAGTTCGTGCAGTTCCACCCCTCCGGGATCCATGGCGCCGGGGTACTCATCACGGAAGGTGCGCGCGGGGAGGGCGGATATCTTCTCAATGCGCATGGCGAACGGTTCATGGAGCGGTATGCCCCAACGGCTAAAGATCTAGCCAGTCGGGATGTCGTAGCGAGGGCTATGAATCTTGAGATCCGTGAGGGACGGGGCTGTGGCCCGGAGAAAGATCATATTCATCTCCAGTTGTCTCATT